CAGTGTTCTTAACTGCTGAGCCATCTCTCCAGCCCCATTAATTATAAACTTTCTAACACTTCATCCCAAAATATTTCTTTGTACTACTCCTAAGAGTAAGGATTATATTTTTGTGTTTATCTTTAGGAAGCAAACAGTAGTTTTGCAATATTTTTAAAGTGTAGCTTAGACTCAGAGTGTGGTGGCACACACTTAATCCCAGATCTTGGGAGGCAGGTGGATTTCTTTCTGTTGAGATTGAGGCCAACCTGGTCTACATAGAGAGTTCCAGGCCATCTGGGGCTACAGGGAGACTCTGTAAAAAAAAAAAAAAAAAAAAAAAAAAAAAAACCCACAAGAAACAAATACAAACAGAATGTGGAAAATGGTTAAAAATGGCTGAATGTAGGAGCCTAGGGTAGGGACATACATTTGATTTAGGGAAAGACAGACTAGGCTTTCCTGGGAAAGGGATCTGCATTATATGGGGTCAAAAGCTGCAGACAAAATAACCAGGACCTGATCCCTAGATCGAGGAATATAAAAGAGGTAAGGAGTTCATGGGTCCTAAGAGATTCCAGAGGGGAAAAGCCCTCTGTCACTATGCAGCCACAGCATTCCCCCATGAGAGCAGTCTCTGGATCCCATTTTTTAGATTTTGCATTTACTGTCCAAAGGATGGAAGATTTCCTCCCTCCAGTAAAACGTATGTTCCTACCCTCTATAGTCTTGGATATGTCCTGAGTGGTCAGATTATGAATGTATATATGTGGAAAGGAGATATTACAGTCCTTCCGGTGTTCTGAGCTATACCAAGATGTCAATGTGAAGATGTCAAGAGAGTGGAGAACAGGCACCACCTCTTTATACCAACTCCTACTGACACACATTTCAGACCAGGAGAGTAGGAAAGCACTCAGGTGAGTCTAAGGATCTGGTGAGAAGGCATGTACATCCTGCTGCTTCACACAGCTCAAGTCTCTTTGCACTCACACTACCCAACATTCTACTCATTTAAAACAGTTAGGATGTTGGGCTGACCACTATAGAGACTCTCTGTGATGCCAACGTTCTATACTTTATATTTTTTTGGTCTTTGTGAGACAGGGTCTCCCTGTAGCCCCACCTGGCATGGAACTCACTTTGTAGACCAGGCTGGCCTTGAACTCACAGAGATCTGCCTGCTTCTGCCTCCCAAGTGCTGGGATTAAAAGCACCACCTTACCCGGCAACGTTCTATATTTTTAAAGCCCATTCCTGCTCAACTATAAAAGATTTTGACTGATTCAATCACAGACACAATTGGCTTTTTAATTTTTTTTTTTTTGAGACAGGGCTCACAGAGATCCTTCTGCCCCTGTCTTACAAGTGCTGGAGTAAAAGGCATGTACCACCACACCCCAGCTCATATATTCATTTTTGAGTTCACAAAGACATCACAATTCCATAACATTCTCATTATTTTCTATTTATTGAGCACTCATAATGTTCCAGCCCTGACTCCAATGACTGACTGCATTTCCCACTCCTATCCCCAGATCTTTGGGAAAAGCTTCATAATCACATATGATCCTAAGGACACACGATATAAGGACAAACCTCTTGGGGACCCTGGAGTGTTTGGTCTTTGGCCAGTCTGTCCCTGGAAAACTACAGAAATATATGTTTATATATTTATGTATATATATATATATTAAATCTTTGCTCATATCTGTACAACATTGATCTCTGCTAATTGCTTAAAATAGAACTTGATTCTCTCTACTACAGTACTTCCTAAGTCAAACAGCCCCACAAAAGGGGCGCCCACTTCACAGACTGGCCAATAGTCTCCAAGAGCATTTCAAGTAGTTACTCTGAAGTTGCATGACAATCCAATACCTACTCTTTCTTAGAGCCACTTCCCAGAGGTACAGGACTAGGGCAGAGGGAACAAGGAGAGACGACATGGAAACATACATAAGCCTAGTCTAAGATGAGTTGCCACAACAGATGTTTGTTTGGGAAGGGAGCTCTAATTTCAAGGCATTTCAGATGGCCATCCCAGGTGCACCTGTGCTAGTAAAGGTACGCGTTCTCCTGAATGCACATATGGTCTAAGGGTACCTTAAGAAATTGCGAATATTTCCTTCAAAAAGTAAAAGACCCTGCCACTTTCCATTTTATATTTGCTATCCCTTCAATGGTACCTTCAGCAGTAAAGTGAACAATCTAGGATTTCCCAACCCAAGGAAACCATTCAAGCCTAACGGCTAAGTGAAGAACCAATAGCTGCTTTGAATATAAACTGGATGCCCCCCTAGGCATAGCTCTGGCACAGGTATGCTTCAAACCAGGAGGACTGCTTCCTCAGACACCCGTGGCATGAGCCAAGGCCTTAGCTGGCCAGTATATTAGCCAACAGAAAAGGCTGCAAGTTCAAACAGCTGGGGAGTGTGACACCAATGAGAAAGATTAATTACACGTTGCTGGTGGAAGGGGTGAGTGCTGGTCATGGGCTAGAGACTGGCTTTGAGGGTTTAGATCACTAGATAAATACTGGACTTGGGGGACATCCTCACTGGGTGTCTTATCAACCACATCAGGGACCACCCAAGAGTTCTCAGAGACCTCCTGAGCCTGCAGATCAATCTCCCCAGTGCACTCTTGGGATGATTTATCAGCCTCAGGAATGTCTTGAGATAACACACTGATGGCAGAAGCCTCCTTAGCCAGACTGCCAACAGAGAACTCCTGGCATGGCTGGCTGACCTCTTCAGGGATCTTTTGGGTTGGACTGCCAACCTCTGTAAGGGTTTCCTGGGCCATGCCCTCAACCCTTACAGGGAATTCATGGACTAGTCTGCCCTGTTCCACAGGGAACCTCTGGCATGGCTGGTTGATCTCTTTGGAGTTCTCCTGACAAAGCTGGCAAACTTCCTCACAAACTTTCTGAGACAGCTGGCTCGTCTTCTGGCATGAATGACAAGTGCTGGTAACAGTGTCATGGTTCTGCAGCAATGGCTGACTGATGTCTGGGACCTCCTGGGTAGGCTGGCTGACTTCCTTAAAGATGTCATGACATGGCTGACTGATGTCTGGGACCTCCTGGCATGTCTGGCTGACCTCCTCAGCAGTATCCTGACCTCCTAGCTCACTGGTTTCCACAGGTACCTGTTGAGGGGACTGGTTTGCTTCAAAAAGCTTTTGCTGTCCTTCTAAGAGGAACTCTTGTGTTCCATTTCCAGGAGTCTCCTGGAGCAACCCAAGGTCTTGATTTTCTTCAGTTACATGTATATTTACAGAGGATTGATCACTGAAGCCAAAATGGGAGTTGCTATCTACTGCAGTAGGGGAGGAAGGACCAGCACTGGACACAGTGCTTGACGGGCCACTGCTATCTGTAAAGCAAAATTATGAGACCAAGTTAGACAAGTAGGCTCTACTTAAGCATAAAGATTAAATGTTAGAATGGATGGCCCTTGCTACTCATGTTTTGGGGAGAGAGGATCTTAATCCTTCCTAAATTTGGCAGATTCCTGAGTTCACTCAGCTCAGGAACTGTCATACTGGCCTAAGATAGACTATAGGAACAACATAAGGCTTCTCTAAGATTCAGGAGAACAAAACCTATTTCATCTAGTTTTTCATAAACACTCTGATAAACTCCCACCCCAACTCCAAATTCCCATGGCCCCTCATTCCTACTTTGGATGCAAATATTTAGGCCTAATGATTCACAATTACTGTTATATATCAAAATTGTGGGGAAAAATTAAATACCAATTATCAGGTTCCATCTCCATACATTCTAATCCTATAGGCTTAGTGTAAAGGTATGGATGGAAGGAGGGTTGACGATGAAAACAATAACATCATTGAAATATTCCCAATGGTGGGGACTGGGAATTTGGCTCAGTGGTACAGTGTCAGTCTCTAATGCATAAAGCCCTAGGTTCAGTATCCAGCATAAAACCAGGTTATCCTGGTTTTATGCTACACATAAGTTCAAGGCCAGCATAATCATGGGCTACATGCAACTTTTCCTAGAAAAAAAAAAAAAAGAAAGAAAAGAAAAGAAAGAAGAAAAAAGTTTTTTTTAAAAAAAAAAAATACTATTTTTATTTTATGTGTATGAGAATATTGCCTGCATGTGTGTAAGTACATCCATTTTGTGCAATGCCTAGGGAGGTCAGAAGAGGGCATTGGATCCCTGGAACTGAAGTTATGGACAGTTGTTAGCTACCATGTGGGTGCTGGGAATCAAACTTGGGTCCTCTGGAAGAGCAGCCAGTGCTCTTAACAGCCGAACCATTTCCTCAGCCCTAGAAGGAAGGCTCTTAACTGAATCTGATGTATACCTTTTGTTAAGAATTACTCTTTAATCATTTCTTGGTCATTTGCTAAGATCAAGTGAAGAATCATTCTTTAAAGTAGTCAACGTATTTCTGGAGCAAGAGATACCCCAAGAGATAAGTAAGCAAGAGAATGTAGAAAAACTTATTAAATCAGGAGCTCACACCTGCAATCCTAACACTCAGGAGGGCTGAAAGTTCAAGGTCAGCCTGGGCTTTATAGCAACTTCTAGCCTGGGCTACAAAGTAAAGGCAGAAAATGAAAAAAAACAAAAACAAAAACAAAGGAAACAAAATTTATAAATGATAACACTAAGAAAGAAAATTTACCTGAAGATGGAAAACTGCAATAGAATTTCCAAATGACAAAAACTGAAAATTAGTTTATTAAGGGTGTCACTGACATCTTTGAAGCTCTCATAGAAATAATAAATTATCTTCCAGAGAAAAGGTACACATTTAATATTCACACCAATCTTTATAAATGATTCCTGGAGTTCACAGAAACCCATCCATGAATTCAAGGTCTTACAACATACACTGTTACAAGATTGTGTATCTTGGATACATAGAAAACATAAAAACTAATTTTTCCAATCCTGTTGAAAAGTCCCAATTGGATCTAAACTGTATCTTTTGCTAATAATAATAAAGACCTGCCAGACATGAGATGTATGCCTGTAACTTTAGCACTTGGAAACCAGAGGCAGGAGGATTGCTGCAAGTCCAGACCAGCCTAGTTTACAACCTGAGTTCTAGGCCAGCAAGAGCCACATAGCAAGACCCTATCTTTTTAAAAGATATATAATGAGGACTTTAAAGTCCTAATTAGTCTATAGGATGATTCAACCCCAAACTCTCCTACTTGACTGACCTCTAGTATGAAGGAAATCTACTTTCCCTTTTGTGAGTGTCATATTTCTCTCTTCTGGCTAAAGATAATAAAGGTAAGTGGGGGAAAGCAGCACTTCAACTGAGAACAGACATCTGAGAAGAGTCATGTATAGAAAAGCAGCTCACTTGAGTTTCTTTTCTATTTTTTAATTTTATGTGTATGCATGTATTGCCTGCATGTATGTAAGTGCACCTGTGTAGTGCAATGCCCACAGAAGTCAGAAGAAGGCATCAGATCCCTTCAAACTGGAGTTACAGACAGTTGTTAGCCACCATGTGGGTGCTGGGGATTGAACCTGGGTCCTCTGCAAGGGTAGTTAGTGCTTTTAACCACCGAGCCATCTCTCCAGTCCCTCTTTTTTTTTTTTTATTAGAAAAATATTTTGATTTATTTTTATTTTATGTGTAAGAGTGTTATATCTGAATAAGTGTACCCATGTCCTGCAGTGCTTGAGGAGGACAGAAGAGGGCATTGTGTCTCCTGGAACTAGAGTTACAAATGCTTGTTAGCCACCATGTGGGTGCTGGGATTCAAACCCAGGTCTTCTGCAAGAACAGCCAGTGCTCTTAATCCTAAGCCATCTCTCCAGCCCTGAGTTTCTTTTTTTTTTTTTTCCCTCTATTTATTGTTTTTGTTTTAGTTTGATTTTTGAGACAAGGTTTTGCTACATGTAGCCCTTCACTGGCCTCAAACAAGCATACAATACCAAGCCTGGCTTAAGATTTTTTTTTGTTTGTTTGTTTCTTGTTCTCAGCTTTTCTATATATTTAGGTTGTCTCCTAGTCATTTTTATCAAAGAAGGTTGTAGACAGGGACAGTAAGGTTTACAAGATCCATCCTTTTTTCCCAAAAAGGGTCTTTAGAGATCACTCTGGACTCTCCAATGAGGCTGGAAGACACAGGTAAAGAGATTTTTCCTTTAACCTGGAAACAGTTGCTTCCCAAAATGGTCATTCCTACCTTTTTTTTTTTTTGAGACAGGGTTTTGCTATATAGCCTAGGCTAGTCTTTAATTCACTATGTAGCTTAAGTTGGTCTTGAACTAACTTTTAATCCTCCTGCCTCTACCCATCGAATGAACTTCTCTGCTTGGCCATTTCTGGTCTTTTCTCCCTCATCTTCTTAACTCTCATGGGACAGGTCTCTCATCCATCAATCCCTTCATCCCTCTTGGGTTTTGTGTAGACAGTTAAAAAAGGTTTACTTACACCAAGGGGGCTTCTCAGAGCGCTGCCGAAGTTGTAGGGGTGGCGAATGAAGAGTACGGGGTCGGGAAAATGGGTTATCTGAGGCCTGGTTGCTGTGCATAGAGTCAAAGAGGGCTGTGTGGGTGGGAGAGGGGGAAGAACAAAAGGCAATGAAAAAGAATCCAGGAGTCACAGGTTCTCATCATAAGTCAGTCACTTTACCCCCCTCCTAGAGATCTTTCACCCAAACTTTTTCATTTTTAAACTGTGTATTAGAATGTTTTTCAAATATACAATTTATTATTAATTTATTAGTGTACAAAATAATGGGTTTAATAGGACATTTTCACACACGTACATATTATGCTTTGCTCATATTTATCCCCTATCATTACCTATTCTGTTCCTCTCCCCTTTCCCTCAGTCCCCTATTCCCACAAATAGCTTATCTGCATTCATGTCTCTGTCTCTCATGCTCTCTCTCTCTCTCTCTCTCTCTCTCTCTCTCTCTCTCTCTCTCAATTTTACATGACAATGACAGAAAAAAAGGCTGGCAAGATGGTTCAGAGAGTTAAGGCATTTGCCATTAAGGCTGATGACTTGAGCTGGATCCCAGGGACAAGGTGGAAGGAGAAAACTAACTCCTGCAAGTTGTCCTGATTTCTGCATGTGGGCCATGGTATTCCACCCCCAAAATTAATAAATGTAAAAAGATTCTGATGCTCCTTTGCATATGAAAAGTTTATTCTCCCTTGCTTCTTTCAAAATTTTCTGTCTTCTGGCAATCTGAACATAATGTGTCTCACTGTGGATTTCTTGGAACATATCCTATTGGAGCTGGTTAAGCTATCTGGAAATATAAATTTAGGTCTTTTATTAATTTGAAAAGGTTTTGTCTATTACTTTTTCAAATATATTTTATTCCACTTTGTCTCTTCCTTTGAAATTAAGATCTGCTGTGCCACTCTGGAATCAGAAACTCTAGTCACACACTGAGGCTACCATCTTCAAAACTACCACCAGGGTCTGCGGAGCCAGCTCAGCAGCTAATTTCCATGTGTTCCCAGCACACACATAACACCACATAACAGCCTTTAACTTCAGCTCTGAGGGATCCTATGCCCCTATCTGGCCTCCAAGGGTACATACCCACACAGAGACACATTTAAAAAACAAATTTACCAGCTGGGTGTGGTGGCACATGCCTTTAATCCCAGCACTTGGGAGGCAGAGGCAGGCGGATCTCTGTGAGTTCAAGGCCAGCCTGGTCTACAGAGTAAGTTTCAGGACAGGTGGGGCTACTGGGAGACTCTGTCTCAAAAAGACCGAAAAAAAATCTACCAACAAACTAGGAGGTAGAGGGTGGGCAAGGACAATAAAAATGCTGCAAAATTTTCTTTACATTTTAGGCTACCTTTAAATTTTTTTAATTAATAAAAATTGATTACTTTTTTTGTGTGTGATGCTGGGAGGTCCTACCCAGGACCTTATACATGCTAAACAAGTGTTCTACTACTGAGCTACACCCCCAGTTCTCAGGTTGTCTCTTTCTTGATTTTGGCATTTTCCTGCTTTCTTCAAGCCTTTGACTATTTCCCAGAGTACTGAAAAAGTTAATTCTGAAACTTTTTGCATGATATGTGTGTGTGTGAGTGTGTGTGTGTGTGTGTGTGTGTTTCTGTGAAGCAACAACCCCTTGAATTTATCACTGATTATTACATATCTAATCCATATGGAATTTATCCTGGTATATAATATGAAATATGGACTTGATCTTAATTTTTGTCAGGTGGCTACTCACACCTACTTCACTTTTTAAAAAAATATCAACTTTAGGCTGGAGAGATGGCTCAGAGGTTAAGAACACTGGTTTGTTCTTGCAGAAGACCCGGGTTAGAATCCCAGCACCCACATGGCAGTTAACACCGTCCGTAACCCCAGTTCCAGGGGATCCAACAGCCTCTTCTGTCCTCTGTGGACATTGTACGACACAGGTGCACATACCTACACGCAGGCAATACACACATATACATAAAATTTTAAAATATATATACATACATACATATACATATATCAGCTTTGGGGCTGGAGATGACTCTTATAGAAGACCTGGGTTTGGGTCTGAGTACCCACAGAAAGGCTAACAACTGTCCATAATGCCAATTCCAGGGTATCTGATGCCCGCTTCTAACCTCCTCAGGCATTACACAACACAGGTAGGTATACCTATCTACATGCAGGCAATACATTCATACACATAAACTAAAAATAATATTTTTTAAAAAAAGCTTTTATGCCAGGCGTGGTGGTGCATGCCTGTAGTCCCAGCACTTGGGAGGCAGAGGCAGGCAGATATCTGTGAGTTCAAGGCCAGCCTGGTCTACATAGTAAGTTCCAGGACAGCTGGGGCTACAGGGAGACCCTGTCTCAAAAAGACAAAAAAAAAAAAAAAAACCCCAGCTTTTACTCAGGATTTTGGAATGCTAACTTCACTGATTTCTAGACTTCTTATCTTGTCTCCTTAGTTTATTTATTCATGTACCAATACTATACATTTGTTTGTTTGTGACAGTCTCACTCCTGTAGCTCTGCATGGCCTAGAACTCACTGTGCAGACCAAGCTGGCCTTGAACTTGTAACCCTCCTGTCTCATCCTCCCAAGTACTGGGACTACAGGTGTGTACAACCTTGCCTAGTTTTATGTGGTACTCAAGATCAAACCTAGGGCTTTGTATCTGCTGGGAAAAGCACTCTACCAACTGAACTACATCCTTAGCCCCTGGTTTTTTTGTTTTTTTTTTCTTTTCTTTCTTTTTAATTTAGTTTTTCCTATTTTTTCAATAGAAACTATAAAATTGATTTGTATTTTTATTAAGATGATATTAAGTTTATAAATTACTTTGGGGAAAAGTACTATTTATTTTTTTCTTTTTCTTAGGTTTTTTTGTGAGTATATGTGTGCATGTTATGTGTTCGTGTGCGTGTGCAAAGATATGTGTGCAGGCATGCAACCCATGTGGTGGCCAGCACTTGATGTCAAACGCTCTTCAATTGCTCTCCACCTTATTTTTTTGAGACAGCATCTCTCACTGAACCTGGAACATTTGGCTAGATTTGGCTAGACTTGCTGACCATCAAGTCCCAGGGATCCTCCTGTTCCTACCTCCCAAACACTGGGATTATAGGTATACAACACCATGCCTGGCTTTTACATGGGTGCTGGGGATCCAAACTCAGGTCCTCTGCCTTACATCGCAAACATTTTACTGACAATATCATCTCATCATTTTTGAGTCAGGTCTCATGTAGCCAAGGTTAGCCTTGAAATGCTGATTATCTTGCTTCAGCCTCAAGTATTGGCATTACCACACCTGGCTCAAACAGATTTAAATAGAGATTTTTTTTTTTTTTTTTTTTTTTGTCTTTTTGAGACAGGGTCTCTCTGTAGCCCTAGTTGGCTTGGAACTCCCTATGTAGACCAGGCTGGCCTTGAAGTCACAAAGATCCGCCTGCCCCTGCCTCTCGTGCTGGGATTAAAGGTGTGTGCCACCACACCCAGCTAGATTTAAATACAGATTTTAAGCAAGGGGGTAAGAGAAAGACAAGCACTTAGGAAGAAAGTAAGACAGACACACTAGAGGATGAGTGTGGGCTTTTAAAGGAGAGTTGCCAAGAAGTAATATTTCTAAAATGTTTAGTTGGCCTGTTTGGTTTTTTCCCTTCCTTTTGTTTTGAGACAAGGTCTCATGTACCCCAGAAAGACCTCAAACTCCCTCTGTAGCTAAAGATGACACTGATTTTAATTTTTTAAAATTTTATTTTATGTGTATGAGTGTACTGCCTGCATGTAGGTAAGTGCACCCATGTCATGCAGTGCCCACGGAGGACAGAAGAGGCCATCAGATCCCCTGGAACTGGAGTTACGGACAGTTGTTAGCTGCCATGTGGGTGCTGAGATTCAAACTCGGGTCTTCTGCAAGAACAGCCAGTGTTCTTAACCACTGAGCCATCTCTCCAGCCCCGAATTTCTTTAATTTTTAAAAAAATTTATTATAAACTGGGCATGGAGGTACATGCCTTTAATCCTAGCACGCAGGAGGCAGAGGCAGGCAGATCTCTGTGAGTTCAAGGCCACCCTGGTCTACACAGAGAGTTCCAGGACAGCTGGGGCTCCAGGGAGGCTGTCTCAAAAAGATCAAAAAAAAAATTTATTTAGTGGTGTTTGTGTGTGTGCTATGTGTGTGAATGTCAGTATGCAAATGCCATGGCAGTGTGTGGAGGTCAGAGGTAATCTTTGGAAGCTGGTTTTCTCCTTTCACTGTGAGTTCTGGGGATCAAACTCAGATTAGGCTTGCTGACCTTGACATCAAACTTTTTTTGGGTGGGGAGGAGGGAGGCAGGGTCTCACTATGTAGCCCTGGATTACCTAGAACTCCTTATGTAGACCAGGCTGGCCTCTAACTCACAGAGATCTCCTTGCCTCTACCTCCTGCGTGCTGGGATTAAAGGCTTGTACCATCAAACTGAGTTTTATGTGGTGATAGGATCAAACACAGGACTTCCTGTATGCTAGGCAACACTCTACCTATTGAGATAATCCATAGCCTCTGATTGTACATTTTTTCTTAAATTTTATTTTATTCTTTCTCTCTTCCTCTCCCTTTCTCTTTCTTTCTTTCTCTCTCTCTCTCTCTCTCTCTCTCTCTCTCTCTCTCTCCTCTTTCTGGTACATACATATGCATATATGGTGTGTGTATGCTTGCCTATGCACATATTTATGGAGGTCAGTGGGGGTTTTCTATTACTTTCCACATTAGTTTTTGAGACAGGGTCTGTCATGGAATCTGGAGTTCATCATTTCTGCTAGACTAGCTGGGCAGCAAGCTCTTAGGATCTTTCTGTTTGTGCCCTTCAGTGCTGGGGTTATGGATATGTGCCAGACTTTTATGTATGTGCTAGGGACCAATTTGAGGTCCTCAGCTTGTACAGCAAGTACTTTACCCACTGACTCCTCTCTTCATCCCTAACTATACATCAAAAAACATTTTTACACTTATTTTTTTGTGGGTACACACTCACATACACAAGCCACAGGATGTGTGTGGATGTCAGGGACAACTTAGAAGAGTTGGTTCACTTCAGGTAGGCACGGTGATGTATACCTTTAATCCCAGCACTCAGGAGGCAGAGGCAGGTGAATCTCTGTGAGTTCAAGATTAGCTTGGTCTACACAGTGAGTTCCAGGCCAGTTGGGACTGCAGGGAGACCCTGTCTCAAAAAAAAGTAGGCTCTTTTCTACCATGTGGGTCCCATGTGGGTCCCTGACTCAGGTAGTCAGGCATAGCAGCAAACACTTTTACCTAAGCCATCTTGTCAGCCCTGGTTATACATTTTTAGTCATTTTTATTTCTTTGTAGAGTACCTAATTATGGTTTTTTCCTTCCAAACTATTCTTTTATTTACATTCATTCTTGTTTGGATTTTTTTTGTCTTTTTTTGAGAAAGGGTCTCCCTGTAGTCCCAGCTGGCCTGGAACTCACTATATAAACCAGGCTGGCCTTGAGCTCACAGAGATCTGCCTGCCTCTGCCTCCTGAGTGCTAGGATTAAAGGTGTATGCCACCATGCCTGGCTCTACATTCCTATATTTAAGTTACATGGAAAAGAAACCACTAAGCAATTCTGCTTTGTTTCAGAAAAAGTTTCTACTTAACATCAATTATGTGGTTAATAACTCACTAGGAATAGCCACATCTTTGGGTCCAGACTGGTGCTATGGTACATCTCCAAAAGAAAATGACACACTGGCTGGGATCAGCCTTACTATCATTGAGCCTTTAATCCTGGGCAGATTCAGATCTCTTCTCTGATGCTAGCAAATTGAGTGAAAAAGCTGTTTAAAAAAGTCTTTGCTGGCTGTGGTGGTGTATGCCTTTAGTCCCAGCCTGATCTACATAGTGAGTTCCAGGCTAACTTGGATTATAGGGAGACCCTATCTCAAACAAAAAAAATTAAAATTGTATTTATTTTTATTTATGTGTATATATGCCTGCTTGTTTGTATATTAACCATGCGCATGAGTGCCCATGGAAGCCAGAAGAGGAGGCTGGAACCCCTCAAACACGACTTGCAAGTTACTCAATGTGGATGCTTGAACTGAACCCAGGTCCTCTGTAACAGTAGTACATGCTCTTAACCACTGAGCATTCTCTAGCCCCACACCTGGCTTTTCTTATGTGCATGCTGGGACTTGAATTCAGGTTCTTCTTCTTCTTTTTTTTTTTTTAAATATTTTATTTATTATTTTGATTTTATATGTATGCGTGTATTGCCTGCATGTAGGTAAGTGCACCTGTGTTGCGCAATACCCGCGGAGGTCAGAAGAGGCTGTCAGATCCCCTGGAACTGGAGTTATAGACTGTTATTAGCTGCCATGTGGGTGCTGGGATTCGAACCTGGGTCTCCTGTGAGTGATCTTAACTGCTGAGCCATCTCTCCAGCCCGGAGGTTCTTATGCTTACAAGACAAGCATTTTACTAATTGAGCTATCTCCCCGGTATCCCAGATATATTTTTTAAATGTTTATGTAAGTGTACCCATGTCGTGTGATGCCCACAGAGGCCAGAAGAGGGTGTCAGAGGCCCTGGAGCTGGAGTTACAGGTGGTTAGGAGTCAACCAATTGTCATGGGTGCTAGGAACTGGACTCAGGTCCTCTGCAAGAGCAGTAAGCAGTCTTCATCACTGAGCCATCTCTCCAGTCCCCTTCTTATTATTTTCTCATGTTCTACAAATTATGGATATGAGGGTAGAGCTACAGATAGAAACAGTACTTCCCATACCTGCAGATGCCTGTGTATGGGCATCAGTGTGGCGTTGACAGACTTTAGTCAAGAATTCACTCACTTGACGCAAGGAAAGGGCATTATGCAGCGTTTCCAGGGGGTAAATGGTAGGCACCATGGAGCACCCTTCAAATCCTGTTGGAAAAGAGATGAGCAAGGTCAATGTTATTCCTGTCAAATATATCCCAATTGGCTAAGGAAGGATGGCGAGTCCCTGAGAGCCATCAGGAAAGTCTGTGGCTTTTGGAAATGTGGGGGTAGCTGAGATTTCTAGGAGAGGGAACTCTTTAGAGTCCCATGGGAGGTCTATTTATTTCACCGCCAAATTCCCTAAAATATCTACCTGTTAAAGCTTCCAGGTAATCAAATCACCTCTCATCCTACCTATGGAGTCTACAATGTCTCATGGACTAACAAGAGCACTAACACTGCTCTTGTACTTTCTGGGGAGATAAAACAAGGATCAAGAGGTAAGAGGTTGAAATTGTAAATCTAACGTGAGGCAGAGGGGTTATGGAGCTGGAAAGGAACAGATTTCAGGTATAAAGGAAAAAAAAAAAACAGACTAAGGAGAAGGGCATGGAATCTGAGGAGGGGTTCATGCAAATTTAGGATGTGGGGAGAAAGGCTAGAAGACTTGAATGCAAACTGGAGGGCATGCAATACATGAAGCTCAGCAGAGGAAAACCACATGCATGAACAGGGTGGGGGATGGAAGTTCTTTCTTGGTCATTTCCATCACATCAAAGCTTTTCCCTTAGGCTCTGCTGTAACACCCTAGGCTTGCTAGGCTTTCTCTACTCCATTGGGAAAATAAAGCAACCCCAACCCTAGATAAATAAATAAATATCGATCCCCTGCCTTAACCATATGATATAGGCTTATCAATCCTGGTATGGTCAAAAGTAAATCTCTACATATATCCCTAAGCCCGGGGACTATTAATGAAGGAAAAACTGTTCCCATTGGAGCATCAAGAAACATGCATCCTAACCACTTTCTCAGCCCCCAATTTTTCTAATCCTTCCATATCTCCTTAAAGAAACTAAGAGTAAGCAGGTCAGCACCATCTATACAAGACTTAGCCTATTGTTCATTAATGACTAAAACTCCTAATTCAAAATTATTATATCTGATTATACTCTAACCTCCAATTTTGTTTGCTTTAAATGTTTACTAGATGCCCCTGTGTCTCAGTTTCCCCCCATAATCTAGTGACAGGAGGGCAGAGGAGTCTCTAGCTCCTCAGAGTAGTTAGAAAAAATGTTTGGATTTGAAGATGATGGTAGTAAAAGATTAGAGAGATAAGAAGAGATTAAAAAAAAAAAAAGATTCCAGGGCAAGAGATTACTCCTGTACTGCATAGAATCAGGGAATAGGTAACATTAGGGGACAGTGAGAAAGGAGACTAGAAAGGGGATGAGCAGCCAATGCTACAGCTACCAGGCAGCCTGGCCCCAATCCCATCCAAGCAACTAAATGCATGTCACATAACCTCAGAGCACATAGGAGAAATGACCAGATAGGCTCTCCTGCCAGAAATGCAATAAGCAAAGCAATCAGCTCCAGCCAGGATAGTGGTAGCAGCCAGCCTATGGCAGGGGGTACCGTAGAGGCACTCGGGGTCATCCTGGCCTGAGCGCAGCCAGTTCCGGAAGAGGCGCAGGTGGTAGGAGCACTGGTGCAGGTGGTGCGCCAGCGTGGCATCCAAGGAAACTGGCCGGCCCCTTGGGCAGTCAGAGGAAAAACTGCGCAGCAACCGGACCACAGGGTGCTGGTCATCCAGCAGCTCTGGAGGGGGCAGAGGGACCACGATAGGAAGCACAGAGATAAAGAAAAGAAAAGAGGGAGAGACAATGAGGGGGGCACTGGCTGACACAGCATTACTGGGAGCAGAGGCCACTTAGATCCAAGGCAAGCTAATGAAGAATCAGAGATGGTCAGTGCCACTGGCCATCCTTTTCTGGGAAGAACAGTGTGGCATCACACAGTGAGACTCAAAGAAGGAATGAATGAGACCCCCATCATACAAGGCCCTCCTCTTCCGCCTTGAATACAATTTCAGTCAGTGCTTACAGAGAGCAGTTATGTCACTCTGGGTAAGGGTGAGCTGGCAATTCTATGGCCAAGAGCCATAACTAGAGTTCCAGTATCCCTGATCATTCTTAGATAAACTCTTAAGATCTACTTCTCAGACAAATGGATCTATAAGGTTTGGACAGAGATGAAAAGATTCAAAGTTACTCAAGAGAAGAGGCTCAAGAATGGTATTAGATGCCAAGATAAGTTCAAATCTAAAACGGTTCCTGAAGGCCTAGGGTAGGTCCTCTGAGGCAGATTCCAAGATAGCCACAGACAGGGTTGGTGCCAGGGTGCTAGCACAAGAGACCGCAGGAAACCAGGTGTAGGCCTCCTCTGAAACAGGTCATATAAAAAACAAAACAAAACAAAAACCAGAATCTGTTCTTCAAAACATCAATACGACCAATGGTCCTTTACCTTTCTCTTGTTCAAATAAACATATTTTGATCTCAGGATATATGTGTACTGTTACTGGGCCAAATAATTTTTAGATAGTTTTTCATTTTCTTTCCACTGATGATGAGTCTAAGTGCTCTTTGTTCAGCTTTGCTTCTGAATCCTGTTGTGTTAGCTGCTTGGCAAACTGTAGATACATGGAATTCAGCTGCAAAAAGGCTGAAGGCAGTGAAAGGTTGTGGTGGGGTATAAGAGGAACAAAAGTGAACAATCCTAGAGAAAATGTATGGGGCATCAAGAGCCGACACGAGGACAAGCAAGAGCTGGAGTGCAGAATGTTGATATAGAAAAGGCAGGATCAAGGCAGGTGAGGATGACTGCTCAAAACTCCCAGGTAAGAACTGTTTTCACATGGTGATCCCAGAGAATGGTTTCTAAAGACTGTGGTTTAGATGTCAGGTCTCCGCTGAGTAGTCTGGTGAGCTCTAACTATACCAATGGTCACATAGTATATAGGATCAGAACATAATGAACTTGACAGATCCATTGGGCACACTCTGACACTCTGGATGAGCATGAGCCACAGTTTCTTTCCCACTCTATGAACTTGTTTTGATGAGTTCATCATACAGTTTAGTAATGAGCCACGCTTGTGTGCTGGTTGTAGTCATAGGATTTGACAGCTCATGAGAAACAGAGGCAGAGATGGGCTGGGGGCTGCTCTTCCAACAAAGTATGGAGACAGCATTGCTTTATCTCCTTTCCAAAGGCACATCCAGTTTTTTCAGCTGTTGTTTCAAAGCTAGACATCATGCAAGGAGATGGATGGTGATGATGGGGCATCAGGATGGCACACTGCTATGAATAATCTGCCACAAGCAATTATAAACAGAGCATTCACTCTAATCGCTGAGTCAGTCAAGCAAGACCTTAGCCATAGGGTAGAGCTCTCATGTTGTCTTAAGGACCAAATTAAATCAAGATAATCTTCTTTATCAAGAAATAAAATAGCTCCAAATTTCTCCTGTTGCAACATGTAGATCCTAGATCCTAGTTTTGCAAACACATTGACCTCCCAGCTCAAAAACAGAAACAAAGGAAGTCAGAAGACCACTAGGAAGTATGCAAGGTGTTGGAGGAGACCTTGGATTTGTTCTCCTGCACTATACCTGAATTGTCCAGATCTTTCTTCCTTTCCTCCTTATGGCAAAATTAATTCTTGTTTTCTTCAGCTGTTCAGTCTGCCAACCAAGGCGTCAGAGAACTGGAGATATAGTTTTGAGGATCTGTTTTATGGACTTGGGTCTTTTCTTATGGCACCTAAGAAACTAGGAGATATGTGATTTAGCTCTTATTTCAGGGGCCCAAGCTCCTGGCACTGTATTATGGACCCTAAATCTAAGTCTCAAGTTTGCTGTTGGTATATCAGATTCTACTCTGGGATGAGTGTGGTATGTGAAGACCAGAAAAGCTTGAAGCTATGTAAGCATAGACATGTTACTGTGAATGGAGGCTCCTACCATGGGCACAAATGAGAGATTTAGGGTGGGTATAAACTGAACGAATACAGGGAGAAATTGCCAGCAGTGCCTACAGAATATACATGACCTGACTGGGCTAAAATCTAACACCTGCCACTGGCTCAGCAAGGGGAGGTTTTCTAGCCAGGAAACTAGGCTAAATTTACCTTCCTCTAAGAGTCTTGGCTCTTGAACAGAAGAAAACCATATCTAACAAAACTAGATTTACCCTGAGGGTAAGAATCAATGCAGAGAGTAAACCCTTAGCTTTCACAAAGAATAAAAGCTCAATAGGGAGTGAATCTTGGGTTCTCTTGCCTTACCTTACAAACAATAACTCTTCAGAGTATAAAGTACACAGACCTAGTTTCTTCAATATTCTTAAAATATTATTCATTCCTAAGTTTCCCCAGGATTCCCATTCCAACTCCTCACTTCCAGCTTCTCTGAGTTAGTTTAGTCATTGGTAGACTAGGGCCTCATGGAAACTATATTTAAAGATATAGAGGCTATGGCCTAATTAAATGACAGAGCATATGGCTAGTACATATAAGACCTGGGTTCAATTCCCAGCACCAACCACTCTGCCAGAAAAAAAAAAAAGGAAAGAGGGGGAGAGAGGGGGAGAGAGGGAGAGAGGGAGAGAGGGAGAGGGAGAGGGAGAGGGAGAGGGAGAGAGAGAGAGAGAGAGAGAGAGAGAGAGAGCGCTAGCTCAAGGTACAGTCCTTTCTCCTTTACTTATCACCCCCTATTCCTTTCTTTTCCTCTTTTCCTCCAAAGGAATCTGGGCTCTTGTTTTCTGGGCTCAGAAAGTAGGTTAGTAGTAACATAAAGCAGATGTGAAGAACACAAGGGCCACACAAAGTACACAAAATGGCAGGAAATAGGAATATGGAGATGGAAAACTACATACTCAAGACCAAAGCCTTCCTAAGCATGCTTGGGAGCTGGGAACTGTAGCATTACTCCAAAAGAGGAACAAACATCATATACTCCATCCAAAGAGTTGGAGTATAAAATAGGAAGATTAAAATTATATAAACTGAGATGGCAGGGAGAAAAGAAATGAGCCCAATCTAGGCAATACTCTTCTGTTTCTAAGAAGGGGAACCTATTGTGTCTGTTTACAGCCTGGCAGTCATGTGATAGGAAAGGGAGAGTTATAGTTGATGTTCTGATGCTGACAAAAGTGATATAATGGTGATGGTGGTGATTATGGAAGTCAGATCTTGAGTTGCCCCAGGCATAGGTCAGCCAGGCTACAGCCAAGGCTAAGGTTGTCACAAGGGAAATGTCTCATGAGAGACATGTAGTAAGTGACTCATTCAGAGAAAGCAGGGTGTCAACACAGTGGAAGGAGAGGCAAAGTCAGTGTCAGAACTCAGAGGCTCAGTGTCTGGAGGTGACATGATGAGGAGGAATGATGTTGAGTCAGAAGCAAACGTACCGTTAGTCGGATGCTTTGCAAACGACACAGAAAATCGTTTTACGGCCGGGACAAACAAGAGCTCTGGGGAGAAAAGACATCATGGGGATTATACCCACCCCTGTGCCCGCCCTCAGCTTTGGAATTTGCCCACAGTGTACTCTGTTCTTTAATTTGTCCTGTGACCTGCTCCCATCCCCACCCCCTGGATTCCTGACTACATTTATTTCCTTTGCTGTAATCTCTTCGTAATCGATGTCATCTCTACCACAATACAGTCCCACAAAACAACTCTGATCCCTTCACCTTCATGTTCTCTTCCTAGTCAGCTGGAAATAAAATTTGTGTAGAAACTTTCCTCTCTTTCCCCAGTCTCTTTCTATATCATTTCTACCTTAGTTGAGCAATTTCTGAATCCCTAAATCTGATTTCCTGGGATTTAACCAAGACTCCACTGCATTCCTCCTGACCATGGATCATCCTCTTGGTCCTCACCCCTACAGGCCAGAATCCAGGAAAGAGTACAAACTGATGCAGCAAGGCTGTATGTGGGAAATTATGAAGGGATAAGCATAAATAAGTAGTACTGTATGGTGAGAGGGAATGCAAATGGAGGAGTGGAAAGGATCCTGCTTCTTTTGCCCATCTGCTATCCATGAAGAAAACTTAGTATAAGGTCATTGTCAGTACCATTTTGAGCATGAATAGTTCTGGAGCTGTGTGTTTGCTGAATACAAGTTATTAAAAAAAGAGTTAACCCCTAAAACCCACCCACATACCATCTCGGTGCTTCAGATTGGCAGGTGGGAGCTTTTTGCCATGGCTGCGGGCGTAGTCCTGAAGATTCGGAGCACTGGAAGAACCACCCAGCACCGTGGTGCTGAACAGTCCTGTGCACTGTGAGCCTGCAAGGCCGGGATCACATTAGTAGCCACGCAAAGCTGCACACAGAAATATACAGAGCTTCACAGTACAACATTAAGACACACACGCACACATATACACAGCCATTCAGTGCCACTACAATGTGGTCACTCCACGTAACTGCAAAAAGTGTTCACAACTGTCCACAACCACACCAGTCAAGCAAAGTAGCAACTCCCCCAAAGATCTACATGGCAGAGATAAAGGCCACTACAAAAACAGTGTTAGTCATATTAGGTATTCAAAGCTACTGAGAAAGACTATGTTTTCTAGGTGGCTCTCAGAGGTGCTAAGAGAATAGGTAAGTCCCCTCAAGTCCCCCTAAACTTTTAAAATTATAATCTGTATCTGTGTGTGTGTGTGTGTGTGTGTGAGAGAGAGAGAGAGAGAGAGAGAGAGAGAGAGAGAGAAAGAGAGAGAGAGAGTACACATGTGCCATGGTACACATGTGGCAGTCAGAAGACAATTTGTAGGAGTTAGTCCTCTCTTTCTACCTTGTGGGTCCTGGGGATCAAACTCAGGTAGTCAGGCTTGGCAGTGAGTGAGTACCTTTACCCACTGAGCCATCTCACCAACCCAGGTCCCCCTAAACTTAATTCCATGCCCTTTGCCCTGGATAATGGATTTGAGAAACCCAGAAATCTAGTCCCTTATAGGTTTAAAAGAGAAAAGCTTTGATTGAAAGTAGGGACTAGGTTTTAGGTACTTGGCTGGTACTTGATTCCTTCTAAGTTCTTTATCATTAGGACTTTTTACCTTTTCCAACAATGTAAGTATGAGACTTATATATTAATTAATTAATTTATTTATTTATTTATTTTTATATTTTTTGGTCTTTTTGAGACAGGGTCTTCCTGTAGCCCCAGCTGGCCTGGCACTTGCTATGTAGACCAAGCTGGCCTTGAACTCACAGAGATCCGCCTGCCTCTGCCTCCCAAGTGCTGGGATTAAAGGCATGTGTCAAGACTTATACTTTTAAAGGAGAAAAGGGCTCAGATGCCATCTAGTTCAAATTTCTCATCTTATACAACAGTTGAAGAAATGGAGATCCAAAGGGGTCTCCTTTGCCCATAGTCACACAATATAAGAGCTAAGGAGGACTAGAATATAGGTCTCCTTACTCTGAGGAATATCTGGATTCAGTTAGAAATTTCTTTTTTTCCAGAGAAGCAGCAGAGATTCTGAAATCAAGATGGACACAATTGGAAAGCATGCAAAAAGTCTGCTGCTTATAAAGTAGAGCATGCCCCTTACGTGCTAAGCACCCTACTAAGAAGGAAAACAGAATACAACAAAAAGACATAGTTTTTCCTGCTCTGAAAAGTTTATTATCTTGTAAGCTCTATGATCAAAACCAGTCGCCCACATGTAAGCTCAAAGAAAACAAAAAGAATTGCCAATTAAGAGGAATAAATAAAACCTGAAGAATCTCTGAAAAGAAATTGGGTCAGTCACTGTCCTAGTATGTGCTCTGGAGTAAGGCTGGAACTCCACGGTTCCTTTATGATAGCCCAACAAGGACAGAGTGATCAAGAAGAGCTAAGACTGACACTCAAATTCTTGGTATTTGCTGTTCTTCTTTCAAACCCATCTTAACCAAGACTCTGGGTTTGTCTGGGAACTTTGTATTTATAGAGGAGATAGACAGACTGGAGAAGAGGGCAGTTTCCCTTGAGCATACAAAGAAGACAATGATCCAAGTATTTCCAGGCCACCAAAAAAATCAGAAAGCTCAGGTAGGGGGCTGGGGAGACAGCTCAGTGATTAAAAGCACTGATTGCTCTTGTAGAGGACCTGAGTTTGAGAACCTGGGTTCAATTCCCAGCATCCACATGGAGGTTAACCACCGTCCATAACTCCAGCTCCAGGGGAATATGACGTCCTCTTCTGACCTCCGTGGGCATTGCACGATATGGGTATACTTACATATATGTAGGCAATACACTCATATACAAAAATAAAAAAAAATAATAAAAAAGCAAGCTCAGGTAGAAAGTGATTTCTACCCTGGAAATCTGGACCTCTCTATGCAACTTCCCCTAACTTTCATGCTCAAACAGGCTCTAGAATGGAGTTCCAGAGAATAATCCACATGGTTATAGATTTCTGCTTTTCTTCAGAGAAAGCTCAAAATGACTGGTTTTATCCCAGACCACCCCAGCTCTGTCCTATATTTATTTCTTCTTCTGAATAATTTTTCTGGTACAGTCATGCCAACCCTGTTCTGCTCAGCCCTCAGATGATCTCAGAGGGCAGTCTCTACCTTACCATCTGTCTACCAGTTCTGTATATCCCTACCTCTGCCTATTCTGTTTGTTTCTGAGATGGGAATCTCACTATGTTGCTCAAGCTAGCTTTGAACCTCTGGGTTGAAGGGATCCTCCTGCCTCAACTTCCCAAGTAGCTGGGACTACAGGCACACACCTCTGCACCCAGCTTACTATGTCTTATTCTTGACATGACTACCACTTGACTAGCCAGACACACCTCTCTATTTCTCTAACCTATTTGAAACCTATGCTTTACTAGGTCTTATTGGTTCTTGGCCTTTTGGATAAGAGCATGTGTACTGGGGCTTCTGGAGAGAGAGGTTCATATCACAGATTGACACATTAGTCATTTAATCTTCATGCCCCAAACCATCTAACTTATTTCAGAATTCTAGAAAGCAATGCACTCTCAAAATTAGACTGGAAAAAACACTTCTCCCCTTTGCTGGTTCAAATGTTAACCAATTAGGTCCAAGAAATTAGGCACCAAGAGCAAAAAAGGTAACAGAAAAATAGAAAGAATCAGACAAGATTTTTTTTTAATAAGCCAGAAGAATAAGTTCCGACCCCACACAGTCATTCTGACCTCCAGTTAGTTCTACTGGTTCACATGGAATTGTGTTCAGAGATAGTCCCCCACAAGGACCATGTCCCCCCTCCCAACAAATACGATACCCTCTGAGGCTTGGTCCTTCCTGTAGTCTGTGTTCTTAGAAAAGGTTGAATGGTGTTCTCCAACCCTTTCCAGGGATCAAAAAAATCAAGAGACATTCCCTCAAAGTCCTCAGAAGAAGACTCTGCCACTACACCAGCCTCAGATTTGTCCCTCAAGCTTCAGGAAGGAAAGGAAAAAAGTTAAAGGATTAGGACAGGAAGGAAGAAAGGACGTGGAGATGGGAGGGGCCAGAGCAGGAATGTGAAAAACAGGTTTCAGAGGAAAACATGGCACAAGTTCTCCATATGAGAAATATGACAGTTATGGGGGTCACAAGTACCTCTTTTTATAGTTCTGTCATTGATAACTCTGAAGGCTCAGAGTCTCCATGGTCCCTTAAGGTCTGGGCTAGACTGGAGGGACAGATAAGGAATGAGAGGGAAAACCAGAAAAATGCCCTTCTGCTAGGGAAATGGGGGTTGGAGGAGAAAACCAAAACAAAACCCTTTTCTGGGATGGAAACAATCATATGAGATTCAAGTTTGCACCCAACTATGGCTTCTTGCACTTCATCCTCCATACCCCATCTGACAGTTCCACTGACTGGGTGGTCTCAATGCCCATGACGAAAATTTCCCACAAAAAAATTCTGAATGACAAATAGACACCCTTTCCAACAACAGGTGAGAGATGCTAGAAAACCCTACCTAGGCCACTCTGTTTCATCTCTGTTGGTGGCCGTGAAGATGAAAACAGTCGGTAACCACCAGGCCTTGAAGATGAAGTCTCAGACAGCACCTGGAGAAAGAGACTCTGTATTAATCACTTTGTCACCTCAACCCAAAAGTACAACACCTAGGTCCTGAATTCTTGCCCCTACAAAGCCAAGCAGCATCAGAAAGTTTAGATGAGTCAAAAGATTTTTATGGGGGAAGAAGAATAAAAAGGAAACAGTGCATTTTGCAGGGGGAAACTCTCCAGGGACTCTATGTTAGAAGGCATTTCTATTTCCAAACGCTGGTCCTCAAAGCCCTCCCACCCCAAGTCTGAGAAACCATGATCCAACTATTCCTAGTTCTCAGGAGAATGGGCTTCTCTAGTCTTACCTGTCTCTTCCTAGGACTCACAAAACCAATCACGTGACTCAGCCACAAATAAAGTCTGGCCATCCTCTCTTCTTTCCATGGGATAGCTGAGTGACTGCAACCATGCTAGGTTTCTTATTTAAACCAAGAAGCCATCCCCTCCAATTATTTTACTCCAGGACACATGAAACTGATTTCTTCAAATGCATACAAGGGTCAATCACACAACCCCCAACACACATACATCCCACCTAGATAGTATTGTTTCCCTAGATCCCAAAAGGCAAAGACAGAAGGCAGGAAAGGAAGGCAAGGCAGGAAGAGACACCTGAGTGCAGGACGCCAGGTGAGTGGTGGACACAGCCCGGGGCTGTAGGCCGATGGCTGGGGAAGGCCGGGGGAGGTCTCCTGACCTCCGACGGCGCCGTCCCCTCAAGGGGATCAGGTCCAGGTTCCCCGTGCACTGCATGTTCATGACCTGCAATCAGACCAGACCGGGTGGAAAGCCGGTCAAGGCTCCTTTAGCTCACAAGCTCCCAAAGCCCCAGTGCCCATAGGGCAGAGCTAGTCAGAGAGCTGGAGAGGATGGCCAACTAGGGCACAGCTGTTATGAAGGTCATAGGTTTCATAATCTAAAACAGTTCAACAGATACCAAGAGAAGGAGGGATGGGGGAGATGTCATTGAAAAGGACAAAACACCCAATGCCTCCAAAGTAAGAAGAAATATTAATATCATAAGGCTGTGTGACCAAGAAGTAGGGAGATTTTCTTACAAGGCGGAGGAGCATATCCTGGGTAGCCATCATCCTGGATAAGCCAGGGTTTAAGCAACACCAGTAACTGAAAGGAAGAAATGTGATTACAACAGGAAGCTTAGAGAGGCCTGGTGGATCAGGCCTATCTCCCAGACACATGGGAAGATGAGGCAAGAAGACCACAAGTCCAAATCCTGCATAGGCTACAGGGTAAGTCTGAAGCCAGTATTGATTACTTAACAAGACTGAAATAAAAGATAAGAAAAGGGGCTGGGGATATAGCTCAGTGGTGGAGCACTTGCCTAGCATGTGTGAGGCTCTGGGTTCAATCTCCTGCACCACAAAGAAAAAAAAAATCTTATTCCTGGAAGCTTCCTGAAAGAAGACAATCTCATCAAGTCTGAGAGATGATGCAGAGAGCTCTCCTTTGCTTATGTCTCCTGTGCTTAAATCAGATGAAAAAATGGGAATCAGCACAGTGATGCCAGGGAGATAAGCATATTATGCGAATGAAGAAGACATTTAGATATGGAGGAGCAGTTCCCTGATGAATGATTGCATGTGATACTTTCCATTTCATCTTTTCACATGAATTGGTAGGGTGTACAGGGTATTGTGAATACCAAGTTATATGTATGTCTCAAAGAGAAAACAATACACATCCCTCCTAAAGAAACTGAATGTTCGCTATATCAATTCCACTTTAAAATAATCAGAAAGTAAGGATAAATCTGGATAAGACTAGTTTATTTTATCAGCCTTCTCCAAAATCTGAGATGTAAATCTCTGGCTAAACCTATGAAAGCTAATTACAAATTCTTCTGAGATATTCCTAAAATGGAAAAACCAATTCCTGTACAACAGAGACCTGTCAGAGAGCCAGGTGAACAGATTCATGAATTCAGAGCAGAATCCAAACCAGGCAGTCTCTGAGACAGGGGTAGATGATGGCATCAAAAAGAATGTCACTGAGGGAATAAAAAAAGTAAATTATTGGGCTGACGAAGAAAACAATGTTACCAAGAAAAAGACAAAGCAAAACCCTCAGGACAGTAAGCCAGATGCAATGGAAAATCAATACCAGTTCTGACCTCTAGATTAAAGAACTAGAACTAGAACTAGAATTTGGGACAAATGCTAAAAATAGCGAAACACAGACCCAGGCAGATAAACCTCCTCATTTGAGGAGAAGACTATCTCAAGATAGAATTTGATATGACTGTCTTTCTGAAACGATAATGTAGATAACCTTACTGAGACTAAAGGGTCTAGTATTTGCTTCTCTCTGAGCTATTTTTGTCCAAGGAAACAAAGAGGAGAGGACCTGGCCTCTAATATCAACTGTCTCGTTACTATAGCTACTGTTTAATGTGTCAATAGGGTAGATACTACTCATAGCTTAGAGAAGAAAAAAATGTTAAGACTTGAGAAGTTATCTGGGCAAGGTCACACAGCTTCTAAGAACCAAACTGGGATGTTAGTGCAGAGTTCATGCTGTTTCTACAGTATATCCTTAGGTACCCCTCTAATATCACAAGTAAAAACCAACTTAGAAGTTCTACCAGCTGTGAAAGAGAGATTAACACACCAACCATGAGCAGGGGACTATTTCAGGTCTCAAGGGGATTCAGAGGCTATCCATGGATATTTCCTATGAGTATCTGTATACCATCATCTTCTAGTCCATCTCATTACCTCCATAGAGCCAGCTTTTCGATTACGAACGAGGGGTGATCTCCTTGGGAGGCCAGGGCCCTCAGCAGGTTGGGGTGAGGTCTGCAATGCCCGGTCTGGCTCATCTGATGCCTTTCGTGGGCACAGGTTCTCTATGCTGCCTTGATCTGTTTTTAATTCCTCATTCTGTTTAATAATAAACAAGAGAGACATTTATGGTTTTCATCTGCCTAATACCAAGCTCCCCAATCTGTTTCATTTTGTTTTTGTTTTTGGAGACAAGGGTCACTGCCTACAGCCCCAGCTGGTCTTGATTTCACAGAGATCCACCTGCCTCTGCCTCCCAGTGCTAGGATTAAATGCATGTGCCACCACACCCAACTTCCCCAGTCTTTTTAAACTACCCTAGTCTGTTTCCTAGTTTCCTGCCACTTGGTCCCCAAGTCCTTTAGTCCCAAATCCCAGCCTTCTGACCCACCTCAGAAGAGGCTGGACGGAATCCACAGCCAGCTGGGGCACTGCCTTCTTCTTCGACACCTTTCACTCCAGGGCTGAAATGTAGTTCCACATGGAACCGCTCCTCTGACAATGGGTCCTATAAGGGGCATCACCAGGTAAATGGGTAGCTGGGGGAGTCTGGGTGTGGTGGCCATACATGAAGCAGGGGCAACAGAGATTAACACAAATGGATACAACCTCCTAGGCAGGACTGAGGTTTCAGGGTCTTACCCCCAATCTGGGGCTGATCTGTTACAGCTTCCCCTTAATAGTCATAGAATCTCACTCATCTCCCAACATTGTAGAACTTCTAATTCTACAATCCTGCCCTTCCATTCAGGTTCTCTCTTTCTCACTCTCTTCCTCTATTCCCCCCCACACATGTTAGAAGGAATAAAATGCATAAAACATTGTTCCAAATTCTATACCCTTCCACATTCCAGTCATGTTCTCAACATCATTCCAGAACATACATTCTGTTCTTTACAGTAAGACCCCCCTGGGTGTACCTAGGTGCTACATTTAGCTGGATTCTATAAATTCTTTTTTTTAAGAGGGAAAACAAATTTATACAGTACACTGTAAAGGGAGATAAGGCAGTAACAGAAGAACTGCTGCCTGGTCCTTTAAAATCTATGGATAAAAAAGTTGTTGTGGGGCTGGAAAGATGGCTCAGTGGTTAAGAGCATTGACTACTCTTGCAGAGGACCATGTTTGGTTCCCTGAATCAACATGATGGCTAATCATCTATAACTCCAGTTCCAGGGGATCCAATACCCTCTTCTGGCTTCTGTGGGCATTGCATATATGTGGTACACTTAGATACATGCAGGAAAAAAAATAAAAAAGAATGTTGTTATTGTGGGCCAGTGGGCCAGTTCAGCAGATAAGGGTGCTTGCTGCCAAGTCTAGCAACCCACATAGAAGGAGAGAACTGACTCTTTCCCACACATTGTCCTCTGATCGCCACACACATCATGCGTGCACATGCACGCACACACGCACACACACACACTAAATAAATATAAAGAAAAAAAGGAGTTGCTGCTGTTTTTTAATGGAAGTAGAAAGAAGGGGGCCCTCCCCTCACCCCATGCTGCTTGCTCCTCACCCGTGTGTTGTCCTCATAAAGCATGATAACAATCTGGGTCATGTAGTTGAGCTCTGAGATGGCACTAAGATAAGCCAAAGCTCGCTGCCACTGTGTGTCCTGGGTCTCCTACCAAACACAAAAAAAAGGTAAGCCAATGCTTATGGACAAGTAAGAGGAATGGGCAGGGAGCCAAGGAGAACAGCAAAAGGTCATAGAAAGAAGCATGAGGACAGCAGACTGCTGGGAAAATACATTCATGTGTTCAAGCAAGAAGGAGGATTCTTACATCAAGAAGTCCCCCAAAACGGAATACACTGAGTAGGGAGTGAACGTGACTCTCACTGGTGAAATAGAGACGTGTTCGAACATGACGGCCTGGAGAGAGCACTCCACGGGAGTACCTGACATAAGTTAAATCAGGCAAAGTCAGACTCTTCACAACCTTCTGGAATCTCCTTCTTCCCACCCCAAAGTCTTCTCTCTTTTCCACCCCAGGATCCCTTCTCTTCTTGGCTCCCCAAGCTGTCCCAGCCTCAATTTCCCCAGGGCTCCCAACATGCCCCTCCCTCCGTTCAGTTCCCCTCCCAGCCCTCCCTCACAGGGGATGCAGCTTGTTGACAGACTCATCCTCGTGGGTTCTCTGCAGGTCAAGCAGTATTTTCCGCAACAGTGGAAGACAGAAGCCTACTGCAATTTCCATTTTCTCCTCTCGACTGATCCCATACTCCTAAGAGCCATAGGCCAGGAATAAGCACCTCAGTGACGCTCATTTCCTCTTGCTTCAAATTCCCAGTCCCAAGATCCATGTCTGCTTTCCCCTCAGATCTAAGGTGTCCTTCCTGTCCACCACATTCCCCCTTTCCAGATGTTTCCTCAATTAGTCTTGATACTCACCCAGAGCCAGGGTGAACCTTGAAAATGATAGAAACTCAATTCCTTTTCCAAGTTTTCTTTCTCTACTTCCCAAATCATCTCTCCTTTCCACTTTCCTTTCCTTCCTTCCCCAATCCCATTATCCCCAAACTACTAGATTCCTTTCATGAAACACACCTGGGGAATGACAACATCAGCCAGTGCTTTAGACAGACGTAGCAACTCTGCTGTGCCTTGAAGTCCCAGACTCCCATTGTGTTGAACATCATACTTGACACAGTCATAGATATCAGGGATTTTACTGATATCATAGCGCCCACTCTTCTGTCGAAAATCACGCTCTAGCTTGCTCCAACGCTGTAGCATTAGCTCCAGCGTCTCACTGTGGTATAGTTGTAGGTCTGAGAGAAAGGCAGTTAGATAGAGCCAGATTTGACCTCCAACAAAAGACCCTGACATATCTGGAGTAGAACCAGATGAGGAGTGCCGGAGAAATGCATCCATACCCAAGACTTTAGAGGGAAGACAGCAGTATTCCTACCCACCTACAGAGCTGGGGTCCTGCATCCGTTCCTGGATCTGGTGAGTGAGGTTTTCAATCAGGGCAAATACCTGATCACAGACTTTCACAGGATTCTGGATTATAGTCATGGAGTTAAGCAGGGAAGTGCTTCCAGTGGGAGCCAACTGTGAGGAATAGAGATAAGAAAAGTAGGTTAGGCTCAGCACCAATTTCCCAGACTTCTAGTTTACTGCAAAGACTGCCTGTAATACATGTGCATTTATTGGCTCACTTCAGTAGTTTTCTTAGGCTTCTAGGCATACTGGTAGTTTTGGACCTTCAGAAGAAGTGACTGCTGTAGCAAATAATCATCTATGAGGGGTCAATCTTAAAAGTCTGAGTCCAGAGAAAATAAAGCATACTTGAGTACTTTTGTTGAGTACTAGAAAATGCTCATGAAAAATGCTGGAGAATAAAGAACAACCCAAAACCTCTGCAGAATGCTCTGATGAGTAGATAATGAAGAATAACATTTTGCATTGCCTGATAGCAGAAATGCAGCTTCAGAACTGGGTTCCAACTCAAGCCTTCAGAGTTATAGTCAATGAGAAACAGGGAAAGAGAAAGAAGACTGGAGGTAGAATAAGCAGTTCTACCTAAGGCCTCACAAATTTTATTCTTTTTTTTTTTTTTGGTCTTTTTGAGACAGTGTCTCCCTGTAGCCCCAGCTGTCCTAGAACTCACTATGTAGACCAGGCTGGCCTTGAACTCACAGAGATCCTCCTGCCTCTGCCTCCTGAGTGCTGGGATTAAAGGCGTGTGCCACCACGCCCAGCACAAGTTTTATTCTTACAAGCAAAAGGTGGCATGAAGAAAGGGAAAGTTGTCCTAAACTTTCTGAATTAATAGTGAACAATGGATGGAAAATAGAGAGCAAAAGTTTGGCCCTTTTGGACAGATAGTTCAGTGGTTAAGAGGCCCTACTGCTCCTGCAGAGGACCTGAGTTTGATTCCCAGCACCCACACTGGGCAGCTCACAATCACCTTTAACTCCAGCTCTAGGGGATCTGACACCCTCTTCAGGCCTCAGTGAGCACCACACATTCATGGCTGAACCCACATATACATATAACTAAAAAATAAGGCTAGGCATGGTGTCCTACACCTTTAATCCCAGCACTCAGGAGGTGGAGCAGGTAGAGGTCTGTGATTTCAAAGCCAGTTTGGTCTATACAGCAAGTTCTAGGCCAGCCAAGGTTTTCTCAAAAAAATCAATAAATATGGGGCTAGAGAAATGACTCAGCAGCTAAGAGCACTTGCTGTTCCTGCAGAGGACCAGGGTTTAGCAGCTAAGAACCATCTACAACTCCAGTTTCAGGGAATCACAGTGCCTCTGTGGGCACTGCACAACACAGTTATATTTATATACATGCAGACCAAACACTCATATGCATAAAGTAAAAATAAATAAATAAAATTTTAAAAACCAATAAATAGGCTGGGCATGGTGGCGCATGCCTTTAATCCCAGCACTTGGAAGGCAGAGGCAGGCCTATCTTTGTGAGTTCGAGGTCAGCCTGGTCTACATAGCAGTTCCAGGACAGCTAGGGCTACAAGGAAACCCTGTCTCAAAAAGACCAAAAAAAAAAAAAAAAAAAAAATCAATAAATAAATCTTTTAAAAAGGAGTTTGTCTTTTTTAAGTCACTTGAGAACCTATCAGAAATACACAACATGAATGTGCATAATGGCACTGAATTATAAAGAATCTATCAAAATGTAGTATGGGATAGTGAAAAATCACTGCCTGGTCAACTGTGGCAGAGAAACCAGGAGAAAGGACAACCATACTGGGTAATGACATCTGCTAAGATTAATACTAACAGGCAGTGGGTACCATTACCATAGTAACAGCCTAGGCTCTCGAGTTAGACTTCCGGGGTTCATACTAGCTGCGTAAGCTTGAAAAAGTTGCTTAAATTCTTTAAAACCTAAGCTTCCTCATCTGTAAAATGGGGAAAGGAAGTACAGTTCTAACAGTTCTTGTAGTGAATTAAAAGTGAACATTAATTTTTCATCTCCCTCCCTTCCCTTGAATCTCTGCTGGGCTTGTGACTGCTTCACCAATATAAAATAACAATCTTATGTTGTACTAATTCTGAACAACTGCTTTAAAAAAAAAGTGGGAAGCTTCAAAGCCAGGAGGCAGAGGCAGGAGGTTCACTGCAAGTTCAAGGCAAGCCTGGGCTCCATAGCAATACCCTGCCTCAAAAAAACTTTAAAAAAATAAAAAAGAAGAAAAGCTCAATGCTTCTGCTTTTGGGGACTACAGAGATGGCTCAGCAGTTAAGGGCACTGGCTGCTCTTGCAGAGGACCCAGGTTCGAATCTAATGGCAACTAACAACTCCAGTTCCAGGGGATCTGATGCCCTCCTCTGACCTCCGCAAGCACGGGTGCACTTACATGCAGATCATACACTCATACACATAAAATAGAAATAATAATTAAAAAAAAAAAAAAGCTTCTGCTTTCGATGAGTCCTAAGCTTCTACTTAGAGCATTTAGCTGCTATGCTAGAGAGATCACATGAAAAGACCCTGTGGAAAAGGACGGGCCCTGCGACTACAGGGAGAACATGAAGGAGAGAGGCAGCTGGCCCAGAATTCCAGTCCAATCTACAGATAGTTCCAGCCCAAGTCAACACCTGACCAGAATTTTAGGAGAAACCAACCATAGTCAGTTGAAGCCAGAACTGTGAGACAATGAACTGGCTGTGCTGTGTTACTACTCCTGGAGGTAGATTTTTTTTTTATAGCAATAGATCATTGAAACCTTAACATTCTATTTCTAAGCCTTGAGATCAGCTGTGTGTGGGAACTGAGCATTCTTTTAGATCATAGAATTTAAAACAGTGAATATGCCATATGATATCTGTAGCAGGGCCTAGGACGCAATAAAACACATTAATAATATTTATGCAGCAAAATGTATACCTATTTACACTAAGATAAATGAGGATTCTAAACAGTCTTGTGACAGTTCCTATCAAGTCTGTCTACAAAATGAGCCCTGATGCCAAACTTATCTTTAATTTTTGAAATTGTAGCTATAAGAATTGTAGACATGAACTTACCTCAAAATGTTGCTGTATAGACTAAATGAGATGATATATATAAATATCCTAAACCAGTGCCTGGCATACAGTAAGTACTATTATATTGATCACTATTACTTAGAATTTTAGGAATTTGGGATGCAGGGTACTTGGGGCACAGAAAGGAGAGTTTGACCTGATCATAGTCCTCAGGGCCAAACGGTGCATCCTGCTGCAAAATGTGGTGTAGCCGAGCCTTCACCCGGTGCTGGCAGCTGCTCAAGGAGTCACTGTCACTGTCCAGGAGTCCATTCATGTTGGCACTCTTCACCATTTGTACCAAAATGGGTGTTAGCTCCCCTTCTAGAGCCAGGAGTCCCTGAAGGAAAGTACAAGGTCTATTAGTTTCTCTTCCTGGCCTAGATGGTCCCAGACATGGAATCAAGAGCTAGATTGAAGAGGTCTATGTGATCAACTATTCTCAGCTCCTTCTCAGCTGCAGAATGGGGACAGCGCTCCACTGGCCCAGCTTTGTTACATAAAGAAACAGAGTTTAAAGGACAAGTTGGGACTGTCAAGGTGTTGGTATGTTAATTTGGAGAATTGCAAGAATGTACCTTTGCAAAGGCAGCAGCAGTCATCTGGACACGGCCCTCATCAGATGCATAGATCTTGAGATCATGACGGAAAGTACTATGGAGACGAAGCAACCCACAGCCAGGGAAGCCAGCATAGTCACCTGGAACAAAGAACTCCAGGTACAGATTGCTACAAATACCCACACAGGACAATTTCCCCTTAGTGTCCCTACTGCCTCTGCCCTTTCATTTCTCCTAATCATCTTACCCTAGCCTTGCTAGATACTCACATTCTCCAACACTTACCCTGGCCTCCAGGGTACATACAGCGAAAAGCTCGCCCCAGCTCCTCAGCCTGAACACGGCCATCAGGAGTCAGCTCTCCACCCCACTTCAGCACCAGCAAAAGGGATGGTGTCAGAGCCTCCCTCTGTGGATCTGAGGGAAGAGAAGATAGTAGGTAGGCCTATATCTAAAGATAATGGTGGGAATACATCAATGTTAGGTCTCCTGACAAGTGCATAGGTAATTCTACATGGAGGCCATCTACAGGTTCAAGAATAAGAGATCTGAAAGTTAGGTGTGGTGACACACACCTGTAATCCCAGTACTTGGGAGACTGAGGCAGGAGAATTTGAGGTCAGTCTGGGCTGGCAAGATTCTATCTTTTTAAAAAAGATTTCATTTTATTTTACTTATTTATTTTATTATTATTATTATTATTTTTGGTCTTTTTGAGCCAAGGTCTCCCTGTAGCCCCAGCTGTCTTGGAATTCACTATGTAGACCAGGCTGGCCTTGAACTCACAGAGATCCACCTGCCTCTGCCTCCCGAGTGCTGAGATTAAAGGTGTGTGCCACCACGCCTGGCCTAGCCCTTTTTAAAAAAATTATGAATATGTGTGTCTGTGTCCGTGTCTCTGTGTATGTGTGTGTGTGTGTGTGTGTGTGTGTGTGCATATGAGTGCAGGTACCTGCAGAGGCCAGAAAAGTATGCTGGATCCCCTGGATTTATAGGCCATTGTAAGCCACCTGACATGAGTACTGGGAACTCAATTCCAATCCTCTGCAAGAGTAGTACATGCTCTTAACCACTGAGCCACCTCTCTGGCCTCCAACAAGACTCTGTCTTTAAAAAGTGGGGGAGGGGAGCAGTGAGATGGCTCAGCTGAGCTGGTAAAGGCATTTGCCACCAAGCCTGATGACCTGAGTTCCCTGGGACCCACATGAGCACAAGGTTGAAGGAGAGAAGTGACTCCCACAAGTTGTCCTCTGATCTCCATATCTGCTTCAAGGCATGCATGCATGCGTGTGTAACACACACACACACACACACACACACACACACACACACACACACACACATTAAAAGAGCTGAATGGTAATGGAAAAGGAAAGGAACCCATACCTTGGCCCTCATTTGAAGCTTTCACTCCATGAGGGTAGTAAGTCAACTGTACCTTCCGATTGATACCCGAGAAGTGGCCATACCTGCAGGGAACAGCCACAGGTCACTTTCTGCCCCAGCACTGCAGTTCATGTTAGTAGCACCCTTTTGCTATCCCCTTTCTCACATCTCCAACACAGACTTCAGTTGCTCTAGCTTCCCAGTCTTCTCCTCAATCTCACCACCTGGCTCTTTCTCCAGTTCAGCCAACAGCAGCCTTGTGATATCCAACACCTCCTAGAGGAAACCAGAGGGAATCCCTACAGGGTTACCCTTCCATCCTCTAATCGATCCCACATCCTCTTTCTTCTAGCGCTAAGACTCCTGACTAGATTTTCCACCTTACCTGGAGCTGCTCAGGTCGCTTGAGTTTTAATTTCCCTGTCTTGTATCCACCATGTTTTTCAAATAGAGCAAAAAACCTGAAGAAACAAAGAATAAGAGGAATCAGAGCTTCTGGGAACTGTTCTCTACCCAATCTCCCTCACAAAGAACTATTTGTCCAAATTAGGACATTCTTCCTACCTTGGGTGTGTCACCTCCATCTTCATCTTCTGCTTGGGAGTTCGATCCCCATGACGGATAATTGCAATGACACAACGAAGTTCCATCCTAAGATTGGGAGTTCTCTCAGAACCTTCCTCCCACCCCAAACCTTATCTTACCTTCCATCATCACATCCCACTTGATAAGTAAAAGAAAAGAAGAACTGGGATCTGAGATTAGAGACAGAGGTGGAGATCAAGGGACCTTAACTAGTAGAGGTCCAGGCTCCACTAGTTAGAAAGTACAGGGTCAAGAAAGAACCACTGGTCTGGCTTAAGGAACCCCCTATCTGGTGCAGGTTACTATAGATTTTCAACTTTTGCTTACATAGTGCCAGATGTGGTAGGGACAATGGGAATGTCCTCAGCCTCTGTGGGGATGGACCATGGTATCTGGAACTGTGGAGCAAGCTCCCGCATAATAGTGTTCCTAGAAGCAGAAACACAGCAAAGCTGTATGAAAATGAACAGTTGTATGACTGAAGTTCACAAACATGCTACAAAAGAAAACATTAACCAAGGGGATCCGACGGCCTCTTCTGTCCTTCACGGGCATTGCACGACACCGGTGCACTTACCTACATGCAGGCGATACATGCATACACATAAAATAAAAATAATATTTTTTTTAAAAAAGAAAGCATTAACGTAGAGTCCAAAACATGCAAACAAACAGTCCCACTTGAGAAGCAGAAGCATAAATACACAGGGATCATGGGGATGATAAACATGTTTTCCCTTCTGGGATACATTCCTTCTGAGAGTGGGATAGAAGATTTAATCTGAGAGTAGTTTATAGGGACCTAAACTATATTCTTTTTTTTTTTTTGGTCTTTTTGAGACAGGGTCTCCATGTAGCCCCAGCTGTCCTGGAACTCACTATGTAGACCAGGCTAGTCCTGAACTCACAGAGATCTACCTGCCTCTGCCTCCCAAGTGCTGGGCCTAAAGATGTGCACCACCACACCCAACACTATATTCTATTTTTATTTTTATTTTATTTTCAGACAAGCTCTCACATAGCCCAGGCTAGCCTCCAGTTCACTGGATTAGTCAAAGCTAGCCTTGAACTCTTCATTCTCCTACCTCAACCTCCCACAATTCCAATGTTGGAGTTATAAGCATGTACCACCATGCTCAACTCATATATTCTTTTATTTTTCTAATGTATCTGTGAAAGAATATTTTTAAATTTATTGTGTGTGTGTGTGTGTGTGTTTGTATGATGTATATGCATGCACATGTGGAGGTCAGTTCTCTCCCTCAAGTCATCAGGCTGGCAGCCTTTCTTTATGTATATATTTTAAAGATTTATTTTATTTTTGTCTTTTTGAGACAGGGTCTCCCTGTAGCCCCAGCTGACCTGAACTCACTATGTAGACCAGGCTGGCCTTGAACTCACAGAGATCACCTACCTCTGCCTCCCGAGTGCTGGGACTAAAGGCATGTGCCACCACACCCAGCTAAAATTTATTTATTTTTATTTTATGTGTATCATGCCTGGTGCCTGCAGAGTCCAGAAGAGGGTGTGGGATCAGCAACTGGAACTACAGATGGTTGTGATCTGCCATGTGAGTGCTGGGCACCGAACCCAGGTCCTCTGCAAGAACAGTAAGTGTTCTTAACTGCTGAACTATGTTAATAGTATATTTTTTTCTCATGTAGCCCAGGTTGGCCTCAAACTATGTAGCAGATGATAACCTTGAACTTCTATTTTGTGTGTGCATGTGTGGGGAGGATATATTATGTGTGCAGCTGTGCATACATGCATGCAGCTGTGTATACATGTGCATGTGTGTATGTGTGCATGCAAGTGCGTGTATGCCTGTGGAGGCCAGATGTTGACACCTGGTGTCTTCCTCAATCTCTCTCCACCTTATGTTGTGGAGACAGGATCTTTCACTGATTGACCTGGAGCTCATCAATTTAAGTCAGGGTCTCACATTGTAGTATAGGCTATTCTAAAACTTGAGGCAATTCTTCTACCTCAGCCGCAACTTGTGGCATTTCTCCTGCCTCAGTCTCTCAAGTGCTGCGATAACAGGTGTGAACTATCAGACCTAACCCTTAATAGTATATTTCTTTTTTTAATTAATTCATTATTCTGTGTGTATGTACATGTATGATGGGGGGTATGCATATTATGGCACATGTGTAGAGGTCAAAGGACAACTTTGTGGAATCAGTTCTTTTCTTTCACCTTTACATAAGTTCTAGGGCACAAACTCAGGTCACCAAGCACTTTGTACAGCAAGCACTTTACCCTGAGTCATCTCACAAGCCCTTAATAGCAAATTTCTTAAGCTAGATAGTGCTTGACTAGCACTATCATATTTGTGGATGCTCACCATGTTTATCATTCCTTAGGTTTTTTTAATGGTTTAGGTGTTACATGCTAAAATTGTTAAGGTCAATTGCTGAACAGAATCAGAGTATGATCACATTTAATAAAATATAGTTATTTATACATGGGAGAGAAAGACAATCTGTTATATTTAAAACATTAACAATGTCGCCAGGCGTGGTGGTGCACACCTTTAATCCCAGTACTTGGGAGGCAGAGGCAGGCGGATCTCTGTGAGTTCGAGGCCAGCCTGGTCTACATAGTGAGTTCCAGGACTGCTGGGGCTACAAGGAGACCCTGTCTCAAAAAGACAAAAAAAAAAAAAAAAAAAAAAAAAAACAAAAAAACTTAACAACGTCAGTCTCTGAGGAATGCAGTACTGGAAAAGCAAAGAGGCTGGGAACTCCTTTCTCTTTTTCCTTTAGACTTCTAAATTATTTTTAAAATATTTAAAATAAAGCAAATGCTTCTTTTTAAATCTTTCCTTTTCTTAGATATGCTATCATATATACCAGCCTGGCCTCAAACTCTCTGTGTAGCCATGGATAACCTTGAACTGCTGATCCTTTTGCCTCCACCATGCCCAGTTTACAGGGTGCTGGGGATCAAACCTAGGGCTTCCTGAGGGTAGGCAAGCACTCTATCATGAGTGCTACCATGAACTACATGCTCAGTCCAAAGAAGAAAGCTTTTTAATGCTCTGTTCTGAGACTATTCCCTGCCACGCACCACCACATCTCTTACCCTAGAATCTTGGCACAATCATCATAGTATTTCATTGAGTTCTTGACAAAACTAAAGCCATTAACATCACACACAAAGGAGTGACCATTGGCACGAAGAAGGTCAAATCCACAAACTGTTTGCTGCAGGGGGGAAAAAGGCAAGATGATGTTAAGAGCTCCTTCCCAGACCACTGCTCCTGTTTCTTCCCCTCATTCTACAACCCCCATGGACCTAATCCTACCTTAAAAGCTACGCAGACCTTCCTGGCTACCAGCTTTTCCATGGCGGTCAGCATGACTGGGTATCGAACCTCCTTCCCCTCACTGTCTCGTTCAACCTTCCCATCCAAAGCTGGAGACTTTCTAGCTTCAGCATGGGCATAATCTGGCCCCACTGTATACACCTGCAGGTACATAGCATCACTGAGTATGCCCACAGCTCACCCTGTATGTGAGAAGACAATATGAGCACTAGGTCTGTTGATAATTTCAGGAAATAAAACAAAAACCTCTGAGTGGCCAGGCATGGTGGGCACACCTTTAATGCCAGCACTCAGGAGGCAGAGGCAGGTGGATCTATGTAAATCCAAGGCTAGCTTGGTCTATATAGCAAGCTCCAGGCCAGCCAGGATTACATAGTGAGACCATCTCAAAAACAAAGCAAATAGCAACAACAAGAAAATCAACCCCTGAACATTAAGAAAAAATTTTTTAAGTTGGACATGGTGGTATATACTTTTAATTCCGGCTCTTGGAGGGAGAGACAGGAGAATCTCTGTGAAATTGAGGTCAGACTGATCTACATGATGAGTTCCAGGCTGGGGCCACAGGGAGACCCAGTCTCAAAAAAGGGGTGGGGGTTGGAGGGATGGTTCAGCAGTTAAGAGCACTTGTTGCTCTTGCAGAAGACATGGGTTCAGTTCCCAACACCCACATGGAGGCTAACAACTCCAGTTCCAGGGGATCTGACACCCTCTTCTGGCCTCCATGGGCACTGCATGATATGGGTGCACTTACATGACACTCATAAAATAAAAATTAATTCAAAAAAAGAATACAGAAACTTGGGTCAGCAAGGTGGCTCAGCAGGTAAAGGTACTTGCTGCTAAGCCTGATGATCTGAGTTTGATCTCAAGGGCTCAAAGGGGGAAAGGAGAGAACTGCTTCCCTTAAGTTGTCCTCTGACTGCCACAGGCACACTATAATACAGAAACCGCAGACACATACACGTGTCACACACACACACACACAAATAAAAAAATATAAATAATATAATAAGACAATTGAAAAAAAGAATACAGAAACTGGTATTTTTGGTCCTGAGCCTTACAATAGAGATATTATGAAGGTTTCACCTTAGGATTTTGGCTTTATTGTCTAGTCCTTATTAAACATAATTTACCAACATTATACTATTCCCCATGTCTCCTTGCCCTTGATTGGACAGTAAAAATGAGAATGTCTACATCCCTCACTCATTATCTTCACTTGACTATGAAAGCCAATTGAATTCACATCTTATTTCCTAGGATCCCTTCCACACACACTTCCACTTGCTTCCCAAGCACCTCATTCCCAGCTGGACATTTATAACATCTTAAATTCCTGTATCCACCATAACCTTAACATCTGTGCCATCTGTTGGCATAAACTCCTCATAGATGTATGACCCTGTCTTCCGGACACTGCTCTCAGGAGAATAAACGCTGCTTCGGCTGCCAATCTTTAGGAGGAAAGGAAAAGGGGGAAAAATATTAACTCAATCATCAGGTTTTGTTCACAAATTCTCTCTCCCTTCCCAAGAACCTCATTCTTCCCTTCTACCTCTCTGACTTCCCAGACCTGCAAATGTCTCCCACACCTTACGGAAGAGGCGCTGACTTCCTCCTCCAGCCGAGCTGGGGTAGTAGATATAAACATTGTGGTCCTCTGCACTCACTGGCTTCTCCACAAAGGGCTTGGGAAAAACAGCTCCATTGACCTCCACCTGGTCTTCACCTTCTATCAGGTTGCACTCTGAAAGGTACGTATGTGATCATTCTTAAGGCCTAAGATTTCCAACTCCTATTCCTCTGGGGTTTTAATCTATATAACCTTCAAATTTTTATGACCATGTCCTATGACAGATTTGGCAATATTTATATAAGGTATATAGATATGATAAAAATCTATATAACAGGTCAAAGGCTCTTCTAAAGATCCATGATTCTAACTACCCATAAGCCAATAGCCAAAGACTCACACAGATAGGTAGTATACAGGAGATGTTTAGAGGACAAACACTGGGGTAAATCAAGGAAATCAAAGAAGGAAAGACTAGACAAGCCCAGGTACTCACCCTCAGGACAGGCAGGGTCACGGTTGAGCACAGCATACCTCGGCAGATCAATACCCTCTTCCTGCAGGATCCGGTATACCTCCCTCCTGTCACCCCCAAATAAATTAGCCAGGATATGAGGGGGGTGACTAAGGGGAGAGGCTAGGGATTTCATTTGCACAGGGAACAAGAACTCAATACAATATGATACAAAAATTAAGTATGTTTGTTTGACTCTGCCACTCCCACAGTAGGCTCCATAAATGGGCATAATCCCAGGGTCACCCACCCACTGGTCCACAAGAAGCTATACCTATCTTGGATGTAATACTGCATAGCCAAATCATTGATAAGAAAAGGGTTCCGAAGCTTGGAGTAAGCAACAGCTTTGTCCAGAGGAAAGCCTACGATGGAGAAAGAAAAGAGAGACCAAGGAAAGAAAGCAAAAGAGACAGTCAGAAACCAAGAGAGACTGTGGCATATTAAAGCTAGTAGCTGCCACTGAGCAGCTCTATATATCTAGCCCACGACTGAGCCCCCAGCTTCCCAAGTCCAGGATATTCATCAGGACAAAATTTCAATTATATGTAGATCCCTCCAGAGATTCAATTCTATCAGACAATCTAAGAGCCTTAGAGTTATCTTGAGGCTAGAATATGGGCTTTAAACTACACCCAGCAACTCCCCCAAGACAGAGAAAGCAAATGCCTCTGCACTGCTCTGTTGTTTGTTAGGAGATGCTGCTGGCCTGTTCCTAATAAGAAAACAAGAACTTCATCCACAAACCAGCATTCCCACCACCATTCTTCCTACTGTCCTTCCCAGACCCCAACCTTTGGAGTGGAAAGAAATGAGGCAGTGACAGGATGGCCAGTTTTCCACAGGTTCATTGAGGATCACATCTTCTCCCAGGATAATAACAGTCAGGTAGTCAAATCTGCAGAGTCGCTCTAGGATCTGGGTCATTGGCTTGGACTTAGATTTCTTGGTCATTGCACAGATGCCAACAATGATTTGAGGCTCAGGAGGCTACAGAAAATAAGTGCTATCAGGAACTCCAGAATTGCCACCTATATTACCTCCAACACTGTCTCATCTTTTTGGGTATAGTTTCTTGTCAGGACTTTGGACCTATGGGATAAAGTACCTACTATTGCAGAAAGCCTGTAAGAAAAGCATAGTCAAGCATAAGAGTCAGAGAATCAGTGCCCATGAGATAGCAGGAAGAAGACATAAGAGCAGGGGTTTCAAAGAAGGGTAACTGACCAATCTCTATGGCCCCTCCCCTAGCCAGAATAAGGTCTGTTTATGACAGAGAGTCTGTCTGTGTCTGGAAAGAACAGAGGAGTCAGGGCTGGAGAGACAGCTTAGTGGTTAAGGGCACTGGTTACTCTTGCAGAGGACCCAGGTTTGATTCCCAGCACCCACATGGTGGCTAACAACCATCCATAACTCCAGTTCCAGGGGAATCTGACACCCTCTTCTGACCTCAGCAGGTACTTCATGACACAGGTGCACTTACATATATGCAGGCAATACACTCATACAGACAAAATAAAAAATAATAAAAAGAGACACGTCTCCATTCTATGGAGTATCAATTCTCTATGACGGGACCCCAACCCCAAGTTGTATCATTTCCCCTAATCTTACCATTTCATCCTCCTCGTCCTCAAGGAGCTCGCTGTCACTCTCTTCCGTCCTCATGCCTATTCCACAGGTGCCCAGCCCCTCATCTCCAGCTCCAAGGAAAAAGTGGGCCGTGGTGCTCTCGTCCTCATTGGCCGTCAATGACCACATCCCCACCGGAACACCCACTCATCCCGCTCTGCAGAAGAGGGTAACCCCATCAGCTTGGAATCCAAGCACCTTGCAGTGGGAGGGGATGGGATATAAGGAACTAGAATATAAGAGGGAACTATCTACTAGGCAACAAGAGGAAACAGAAACAAAGCTAAGGAAAGAAGGATTAAAAAAAGAAACTGGACTACAATTTAACATGACTAAAGAGGCATAAAAGCAAAGCAAGGGCTAATTATTCTTCCTGTTTACCCCACCTCAACCAAGAAATTGGTAAGAGGATCAGGAGATTAAGCCTTACAGTGCTGGCATGTCCCTGATTCTGCCAGCAGGAAACAATGTTAACTCCAGGTCGCAAACAAGAAGGGCAGTTCTTCAAGGAAGGCTGTGATTGATTCCTACCGAGAGAAGGTTAGAGTGACATTTCAAACTTTGGATTCATTCCACAATATTCCTAGCTCTCTCCTCCCCGCAGCCTAGGATTTAATTCAAGAGCAGAAGAATGTTATAACTCAGCAGTCTTTGCCTTTAAACTCCATCTTCATTACTACTTAGTATTAACTCAAGAAACATTTATTGAACACTCTCCATTCTACATTATAGCAGAACATTAAAAATCCCTTGTGCTCCCTCTTTCTCCTTCACCTCTCTATCTTAAAAGACAGACACCCAAATACAGAAATCAGTTCAAGGAAAGAAGTCTAATGCTAGCTGAGAGATTGAGAATACAAATATCCACATAGCAGTTTTCAATCCATTCTCAAATTGAAATCTCGGTGATCTATCTACAGGGTCCTTCATTTCAGATGCCACCATGGAAAAAGTCACACCTAAGGCCATATTGATAAGAACATCTTACGGATGAACAAGCTGGCAGTTAAACTTCTGCATTCATTTATCTAGGGTTTTAGTTTTCATCCAGTTGTGATTTTGCTGTACCAAGGACATCTGTTGGAAGGCATTTTGGGCTATTAGAATGGGAAAGGTACTTGTATCTAGTAAGCAGAGGACAGGAATGCCATTCAATGTTCTGAAATATATAAGATATCTCCTCACAAGAATTATCTGGTCCAAGGCTGGGCGTGATGGCGCACTCCTTTAATCCCAGCACTCACTCCTGAGGCAGAGGCAGGCCAATCTGTGAGATTAAAGCTAGCCTAGTCCACATAGTGGGCTCCAGGCCAGCTGGGGCTACAGGGAGACCCTGTCTCAAAAAGACCAAAAAATAAAAAAATAAAAAAGAATTATCCAGTCCAATGTTAGTAGCACCAAGGTGGATAAACTCTGCTGTAGAGATACTCTCCTTCATAAGACACATGCATGCAAGGGTGCTCTTCACCTTAATCTCACTGTTGCTAACAGGAAAACTAAAAATAATTTAGATGTCTTGAGTGGTAGAATGGAAAAATATGATGCAGTATATAGAAATAACAGGCTAATATTAATTTTTTAATGAACAAGGGCTAGCACAATGGTTTAGCAGGTGAAGATACTTGCTCCAAGCCTGACACTGAGTTTGGTCCCCAGGAGCTACATAGTGAAGGGTGAGAACCAATTCCCATAGGTTGTCCTCTGACCTCATGCACACACACTAAATAAATGTTATATGCAACAGTACAAACTACAGAGATACATATGCAGTACAATTCTATTTGTCTAAATAAATATGTAATTATTTATAACTGCATATGCAATTAGTAGAATTTTTTAAATGGACTGAAAAAAAATATCAAATTGGTACTAGTGGTAACCTTTGTCAAAAAAAGAGAATGAGGGGCCAGAGAGATGGCTCAGAGGTTAAGAACAGTGGCTGTTCTTGCAGGAGACCCAGGCTCAATTCCCAGCACCCACATGGTGGCTAACAACCATCCGTAACTCCAGTTCCAGGGGAATCTGACGCCCTCTTCTGACCTCTGCGGGCATTGCACAACATGGGTGCACTTACATACATCCAGGCAATACACTCATACACACGAAATAAAAATAAATAAAATATTTTAAAAAAGAGAACGGAACTAAGAGATTCTAAGGATACCTGTACAACCTTGCCTATAATGTCTATCTTCAAAGCTCAGAAAGCAAATACACAAAAGGCTCATATTTACTTGGCAGTAAACTGTAGGGATATGAGCACCTATTACTGTCCAGAAATAAAAATGAATCACACAAAATTTTCCATGTCCACATAAGTTCTCAGAAATACTGATAACCCTAACAAAGCCACAAACTCCTTAAGTAAACTGATTAATTTACTGTTTTGGATTCTTTTAAGTCTTCAATGATTTTTTTTTTATTTTTATTTTAAATTCTTCCATTACAACTAGGGCTACAGCTTTGATTAGAAAGTTATGGATGACCTTGGCCTTTTCAGTCTTCATTATCTGAGGTCTCTATTGCTCAACCACAAGGCAGAACATTCTTCTTTTACTTAACATTTCTGGTTCTGCACTGTGGGTCTCATACATGCACTCCCCATCCTAATAGGCCATTTCTTTGAATTTCCTTTTACTGACTTAACTGTGGCATTCCCAAAGTTCCCATAAAACTAATGCAATTAAAATATTGTTGCATTCTTTATGCTTTATCTGAAACAGAGACTTTCTCTGTTTAAGATTCCTAACCCTTTGCCCTTTCTTTCACTGTCTTTCTTGGTGTTTTTTGTTTGTTTGTTTGTTTGTTTGTTTGTTTTTTAACCGAATATACAGCCATGTTCTTGAAATTCTATTGCAACTCTGTAATGGGGGATGATAATAGGATGGAGAAGAAGAGTCTGTTCACAAACATGGGCTGAAGAGAGATGAAGGTCTAAATTCATAGTTAACAAAGCAAAAATAGAAGCCTGACAGAAATAGCTATGGAATAAGACAGGGTTTATTTAGATGTACTTCTAGGAGAAGCTGGGTTTTTTATGTGGTGTCCCAAAACCACTTTCCTGTTTTCTGTGTTCTTTCCCCTTCATCCTTGCCCCAAACTTTGTTGCATAAGAAAATTTCAGACTCTACACTGGACTAAAGGTCAGTCTTAGTATGGAAGGAAAGGAAGAAAGGAAGGTTAAGAAGGGAAGGAGGAAAGGAAGGAAAAGAAGGGAAGAACTGAGGAAAGGGCAGTCAGGTAATCTCAGGAGCAGATCTGGAGACGGGTACAGGGAAGAGTAAAGTGAGAAACTTCCTTAATCCTTAGAATTTGGGGCTACCTGCGAAGTTCTCCAATCTCCTGGAATCACTTTGCACTTGATGGAGGGCTCCAAGAGTAGTTAAGGAATACTTCTAAAACAGAAATGCCTCACACCACCACCAATACTGTTTTCCTACCCACAGAGGTGGACTCCTCTCACCCACCTCTTTTTTTTTTTCTTCATAGTTTTGAGCCCAAGATGGCTTCAAGTTCATGGCAATTCTCATGCCTCAGTCTCCCCAGTGTTGGGATTACAGATGTGGAGCTACCGCACCTGCTTCCAACTTCCTAAAGCAAATTTAATATTAATCTAATATCCTACATATTCCTTATTCTGACACCAATCAACCACTCTGCCGCGTATTCTCAGTATCAACTCACTCATCCTGTCTTTTTTCACCAATTTGCTAAGACACTTAACTGTCTCCCTTAATCACTTCCCAATCACTGGTCAACTAACGCTTAATCCAGTCAATCCTCCCACTCAGTGACTCCCCAGCTTTAAACAGTACTTCAAACCTTCACTTGAGTCATCACACTTGGTAACATTTGGGGGGGGGGGGGGGGCTGCTGAATCTATGTAGCCCGACTTGGCCTTAAACTCAGGATCCTTCTGCTTCAGCCTCCGGAATACATTTGGTAGCATCTTTCAACTAGCTCTTCATTACCCCACCCCCCATAACGCCAGAGGTCCAATCGTTCTTCACACTACCCCTCCTGGAGGCTCACCTGCTGTCCACAGTAACCCATTCCTTAACGGACCCTCTCCCTACCCAGTCAGTCTCTGCCTTACGCCGCAGGGCCCCTCTACCTCCACCCCCTCCCCTGCCATCTGCCTTGCCCCTCCTCCCACAGGCCCCCTCCTCCCGCAGACCCCCTCCACCCTGTCCCCCTGCAAGTCTTCCATCTTTTCGCAGGATCCCCTCTTCCTCCCGCAGACCAATCCGCACCCCCTCTTCTCCCGCTGACCCTCTGCGGTCCTCTCCCACCGCGCGGGTCACGAATCCCGCCCTCCCATCCCCACTGCGCTCCCCTCCCCCCGCCCCCGCCTTCCCCGCCTCACTCTCCCCACGCTGACATTGAGGCCTCCGGGCTGGGCCTCCCTCTGAAGCCGTCCCCACCGGGTACTACCCACAGCTCCAGGCGCCGGCCGAGCCCCTGGCCGAGCCCACCCCTCCGATACCGCCCCCAGCCCCAGCCACTCCCCCACCGCCCCCGGCCCGCACTCACCCGCCTCCTTCGGCTTGCGCAGCCGAACCTGCCGGCAGCGACACCTGACAGCGGCCCAATCAAAGACTGCCTTCTTTGAGGCTCCGCCAATCACCGGAGGGCGCGCACCGGCCACATTCAGGCTGCGTTGGCCGGCGCTTCTGCGCGGGGGAGGGTGGCTCCTAGTGGCTGCCTAGGGGAATGCAACCTGATGCTCCTGGGCCTCTGATTTCCTACTGCGTTGCCACTCCACCTCCACGTCTCTAGACCAAGAGGCGGACCAAAGAGACCAATGGAAGGAAAAAAAGAGACAGAAGAGGAAGAGGCAGAATTTGTGCCATTGCACCTCCTGGAGGGCAAACCCAAGTCTTTACTTTGTAAGACAAAACTAGGTATGATATACACAGAGAACCAATAAGCATAGGCTGAAAACGTTAAGATGGAGAGAAGAGTGCCAGGGACACTGGAGACGGAAGCAGATGACAAAGTTAAAGGGAAGAACTGGTTTGTGAAAAACAGAAGAAAATAGTACACGTGGAAAGCTGGTATCCCCACACCCGGCTTCTTCTATGAGCTCTAGACTTAAAATCTGCAAACTGGTCCCTTATCTTTAACGGCTGTGTAGCTTTGGGGAAATCACTTAACTTCCCTGAGCCTCCACTTTCCCTTATCTGTAAGAGTAGGATTAAATATCTAACTTATACAGACTACTAGTTGTGACAAAACATTGGAGAAAAACAAGAACCGACTTTGTCCACCTACGCCCCATATCCTCCTTTTCATCACTTTCCTCTAATGCCATTACATTATGAATCCATTGATTAGAATAGAGCCCTCAGAATCCAATCACTCAACAAAAGCCCATCAACTAGTAAGCAAACCTCCAACAGAGGTTGTGGAGCACATTTCTTATCACAGGTGTTGAACATATGAAAGCATTTTGTATGTTTTCTATTGTTATTGCCCTTGAATATTCATTTAGTCTTCCCTAGTAAGATAGTTTCAAGTTCCCCACTTCTTCTCTATGACTTTGGGGGATCTTGCTACTTTCCCAGTCAGATGTCCTATGATGCTGATCCCTCGAGAACTACTGACTACTCAGAGATGGTTCTAAGGACACGATCTAAGAATAATAGATGCCTCCCTAGTTAATGCTCAGGCTGAGACCTCTGCTACATCTCCAACCCTTAGAACAAGTAATTAGAGCATTTCCTAGATATTAAACTTCTCTTACGATCCCACTTGAAAACATAGACTCTGGTCATCCAATTCTCAAAGGAAATAATACATTTAAAAGTTCCTTGTAGCTGGGTGTGGTGGCACACACCTTTAATCCCAGCACTGGGGAGGCAAAGGTAGGTGGATCCCTGTGAGTTCAAGGCCAGCCTGGTCTACATAGTGAGTTCCAGGACAGCTGGGACTACAGGGAGACCCTGTCTCAAAAAAGACCAAAAAAAAAAAAAAAAAAAGGTTCCTTGTAATTGCAAAGTGCTTTAAAGCATTAAATATTAACAATAATAGTTTTTGCCAAATAAGTAAAATACCATATATTTATTAATTGTATCTCATGTGCAGTAAGATAATTTTTTTAAATGAGTAAAAACACATTATATGCCTGTCAGAGGCAACAAAGAATAAGAAAAGTACACAAATGCATGCATCCTTTCAGTGGAGCTATTCTTTCAGTTTAGGCAGCTACTTTCCTAACCTGAAGAACTCTGCTTGTCTTTATTTCTCCACCTGTATTCTCTCTTCCCACTCTCTAACTCCTGAACACTTCAATCAAATAACAGCCCTACTGCTCCTGAATGGTAATCTCATTTAATCTGGGTAAATATACACCATCCTAAATAATTATACTTACTCATGCCCACTCCTTCGCCTAGGTAATGAGCACCTGCAGCACAGGTAACATTTTTCGTCTCTCTAACGATGAGCACACTCCAACTGCAGAACAACTCCAACTCCACTCCTAGCCTATTCTCTGAAAATTGCTATCAAGAGGAGGACTTTAAGTGATGGACTCAAAAGAGAGAAGGATACCTTCTAAGGGCACTCACAAATGAGGAAGGTGGAGAGTGGACATATGGGAGACTTGAATAAGGGGAATGAGTAGGGCCAGTGGGGATTGTGAAGGGATTTGTTTTCTTCCCAAATACTCTCAAGATTTCTAAGTATCTTACTGTCACCTGGAACAACAGAAAGCTGAGAGCAGGCACTAATGCCAGCATACACCACCTTAGCGAGCCCTCCACACCAAAGGCTCAGGTCCCTATTCAACTCCAGCTTTCATTCTTCTTTCTACTATAACAAAAATCAAGTTGTATCTATTCCCATTTGTAGCTGTGGAAGCAAACCCTCTCGAATCCAAATACGCACTTCATAGAGAAGGGGACCAGGAAGGAGGCAGAATCCCTGATGACCTTATGTCCTTGGACACCACTTGCCTTTATACTCCAGATTAAACAGCATTAGGGAGCCAAGAGAGGAAGCGTCTGTGGTGCAGGAGACCTGTGCCTGCCTGTTCCATTCCACACCCAGTCATCTCACCACACCCTCCTCCTCTCTTTATATTCCCCTCTGGTCCAGGAACTGCCAGCTGCAGAGACGGAAGAGAAGGAAAAAGAAACTTATCATTCCCTGCCCAACCCCAGGCCCCACACCCAGGGTAATCAACAGGTAGGTAAGGTTGCAGAGAGTACTCAGGAGTCCGGTGAACAGCAAACAGGTCTGAGCCTGGAGTAGAGGAAGAAAAATAAGAGATCAAAGGTGAAGTAGGGGATGGGGAGGAAGATAGATGAGGACAAAAAGATAGGGGCCCATGAGAAGTGGAGGCAGGAAATCGGGCTGCCAGACTTGGGGGCAGAATCGCGGCGGGAGACAGCATAGATAAGATAAGAATCAATAGTGCCCTAGTTCTTCTCAAAGAATCCTTTCTCAGCCTTGTTAGGAGAACACAGGTATAGCAGGGAGAGGTTCCTGGTCCTCTTCCTGGTTCTTAAGGTGACCTTGAACCAGCGTGTGTCTGTCCCCTGCGCTTTCTCGGTGTCTTTCTCTGGCATCTATGTTTATTCCGTGGTTTCCCATCGCGCCTCTCACAGGAAAAATGGAGAGGTTGCGTGCAGATCTGATGCAGAGAAAAGGCTGGGCAATGCCAGGCCCCTCATACCCACAAAGTAGAAGGATCGAGTTTCGAATTAAAAGGAGGGAACAGGAAGAAGGGGGTTCGATTCGGCAGTCCCCGTGGTGCTGTCCTCTACTTGGTGCTGAAATCTGACCAGCCTTATGGGGATGGGGGTGGGGGGTTATGTCCCCAGCCTCAGGGTGTGAGTCTCAGGTCTTCCTAATTACCTGGCTGGTGCTACCCACCCCCACCCCCGCACACCTAGCGCAGCGGCAGGCGGGAAGGCGGAGCCTGAGTGAGCCCCACCCCTGGAGACTGCGGCTGGGGCCTCCCTCTGCTCCAGCCCGCTCCTAGCTTACTGCGCGTCTCCAGCAGCCTGGTTGGCACCCCTCCTGCTTCGGCTTCAGCTTTTACCACGACCCCCATTTTTTCTTCAGCCTCGGACCAAGCTCAAGTCCTCTGTCTACCCGGCTACATCCTCCCTCCGGGTTGCTGACTTGCTCCAGATCTTGCTCCGGTATCCAGTAGGACCCTCAACCATGGCTGGTCCCTTCTCCCGTCTGCTGTGTGCCCGCCCAGGGCTCAGGCTCCTGGCTTTGGCCGGAGCTGGGTCTCTAGCTGCTGGGATTCTGCTCCGCCCGGAATCTGTGCGAGCTGCCGGTGAACGAAGGAGGCTGTATCCCCCAAGGTATCAGTGCCTGAGACACCGAAGGTGGGGGCTGAGTGGGGATGGGAATGGAGAGGGTAGAGAGGAGGACCTGAGCAACAGACGGGACCCTGGAGATGTGATGCTGTACAGTTTGGAAACCCCAGTACAGGAATAAGGCCAAATCCATAAAGCAAGAGCAGGTCTAGGCACCTGTGACCCGCGTTCCCCACCCCCAAACCATTTTTGGCCCTGCGAGTTCTAGATTCCCCCACTGTCCAAATCCCTTATTGGAAGACCAGAAACAATCCATTTTCCCCTCGACTTATTCCCGTAGTTCTCTTGAATTTCCTGAATTCCCCTCAGTCTTTCCCCTCCCCCATCTCTAATGTTGTACTCATGAGAGGAAAGAAACTGTGCAGGCATGTGGGTAATTGAGGCAGCTACAGGCATCTAGAACTATTAGGAATGAATAGACCTGAAAATCCCTAAAAAGGCTACCAAGGCTTAGCCTACCTCTAGTTCCCTTCCTAAAAAGGAGCAAAACCAGACATGGCTCATTGGACAGCTCCCAGCTGACATCAGTTGGTCTACTCTCCTGTGCCCTCCCTCCATGGTTACTGGGTACCCCCTTCCCAGCGCTGAGTACCCAGACCTCCGAAAGCACAACAACTGCATGGCCAGTCACCTGACCCCAGCAGTCTATGCACGACTCTGCGACAAGACCACACCCTCGGGTTGGACACTAGATCAGTGCATCCAGACTGGCGTGGACAACCCCGGCCACCCTTTCATCAAGACTGTGGGCATGGTAGCTGGAGATGAGGAGACCTATGAGGTAGGGGGCCCCTCAGAGTCTCCCTGGTGACCCAAGTCGTCTACCCAGATCCTTCCCCTTGAAGATCCCTCACATTCATTCCCTCAAGACTCTGGATTTTTCATACTTAAGTTTTCTGACCCAGTGAAGTCATCTACAATTGGAATATAGGGAGGAGTTTCCTCTCTGTATCCATCTCTCCCTCTTAACTCCCCTTCAGGTGTTTGCAGAACTGTTTGACCCCGTGATCCAAGAGCGGCATAATGGATATGATCCCCGGACAATGAAGCACACCACTGACCTTGATGCCAGTAAGGTGAGCCAAATATTACACTTCTGATGTGAGTGATCTTATATCTCCAATCATTACACTTTGATTATTTCCTGACTCATGGTTATGCTGCTGAACTTTCAATATTGATATGGAGAATTATATCTTAAAGAATAGCAGATATGAAGACAGAGTGGATAAGAGTAACTATGCTGGGATAAAAGAGGGTCATGTGGGGCTATAATCAAAGTTCACTGTCCGCATGAAATTGTGAAACAAGTTTTTAAAGAGATGATGCCCTGGCTGACATGGTGGCTCATACCTATAATCCCAGCATTCAGGAGAGACCCTATCTTTAAAAAAAGCAAACAACACAATAAACTATTCCCCATGGTGGGAAGTTTGAAGACCACAATGTCCTCTTGAATTAGAGTGCTTGCCCAATGTATCCTTCCAGTGCATGCCCTATGATCCCTAAGTTCTCCCAGCTCCTGTGTTTCTGTGACTTATATTCATTTTCCTTATTCCTAAGATCCGTTCTGGCTACTTTGATGAGAGGTATGTATTATCCTCAAGAGTCAGAACTGGCCGAAGTATCCGGGGTCTCAGCCTGCCTCCAGCCTGCACTCGGGCAGAGCGACGAGAGGTGGAACGTGTTGTGGTGGATGCACTGAGCGGTCTGAAGGGTGACCTGGCTGGACGTTACTATAGGCTCAGCGAGATGACAGAAGCGGAACAGCAGCAGCTTATTGATGTGAGGGGCCTTGAGAGGGAACTGAATTGGGGAGCAGATGGAGAAAGAGTCAGAGGAGAGGCTGGGCCAAATAAGATAGGTAGAGTTTAATAGATAGATCCAGTAGCTACTGGGAGAATTCTTAACCTAAATCTCTTTACTGTCTTCAGGACCATTTTCTATTTGATAAGCCTGTGTCCCCATTGCTGACTGCAGCAGGAATGGCTCGAGACTGGCCAGATGCTCGTGGAATCTGGTATGAGGATGCTCCACCTTTTTTGTCTCCCATATCCACACATACACAGAAACATTCTTTTTCCCCTCCATCTCCTTCAGTCCTTGTCTTGCTTCTTGCTCTCTTTACCTCCCACCCTCAGGCACAACAATGAGAAGAGCTTCTTGATCTGGGTGAATGAGGAGGACCATACACGGGTCATCTCTATGGAGAAGGGTGGCAACATGAAGAGAGTGTTTGAAAGATTCTGCCGGGGCCTCAAAGAGGTTGGAGAAAGGTGTATGGGAAGCTGGGTGGGAGGAAATGAAAAAAACTAAAGAGCATCATAGGCAGATTGGCTATATAATTTGTCAACTAATCCAGGGAGTTTCTGATAATAGAAAGGGTTATCATTAATCACTCTAGAACAGCAGAGTAAACCAGGGTTGTCCTGGGAAAACTAGGACATATGCTCATTCTGTAAATAGGAAAAGAGGAAGAATGTCAGTAACCTAAGGAAATAAATAAAGCATTATCTTTGCCAGATACTTTAAAGAGGGAGTAAGTGACGTGGTAAGTCAGTGCTGAATGGGTGGTGTGAGATGGTGGGTGTGCAGATTAGAACGTGTGAGCCTAGATTGATGTAGGGGTGAGAGATTGGTATGTTCATGATATACTTCACAGATCTGAGCCATAGTGGGCCTTGACTCTGGATTCTGGCATTCTTGCTAAAGCATCATATCTAGGGTTTAAGCTGAGAATGGGAGAGAGACTGGGCAAGGTTGGGATGAAATGGCTCAAATTCTAGAATGTGTGGCTCTAGATGAGGAGTGAATCTGCAATCTTTTATGGATGGGGGTCTCCGTACCTAATTCTGTGTTAGACACTGCCATAGATCTAATCCTTATTGTATGTTCTTGTACCTACAGTTTTATTTTTGAACTTGCAATGAAAGAGAGCTCTTCTTTTAGATTCTAGCTAGGAAGCTTATACTATTTTTGGAAAGGAATAGATAATGTTCTATAAGTGGGTAGAGAAGTACTTTTTAATTATATGTTATCAGTTTTCTCTTCTATAAAATTGAGATAATAAGATTGCCTACATTTTGGGTTGTTGGGATTAAATGCAGGTAAAATAATTGGTCCGCAACAAATGCCCATGCTGTGATTCTTTCTGAACTACAAAGAGGGCCATCTTTACTTCTGTTGGGTAGTACTCTTTGTGTCCATTGCTCTGGCAGACCCCAGTCTCTTCAATTCTAATAGTCATCATTGTGATTGGGCTGGTTAAGTGAAACAGGGACACCTTTCCCATGCCCCCCTGTTCTCTCATACACACACCTATGAATCACTTTGCTCTGCTTTCATACTCCTTTCTGCTTTATTGTATGTGTTCCTTCTATAGCTAACAGAAAGCTCTCCTGCCTCTTCCTGTTGCAAAGCTTATAGTCTTATTTCTGTCCAAAATGACCCTCTGTTCATTAGCAAAGAGATAACTGATGCATGAAGAACTCATCGAATAATCATTTCTCAGTTCAGTTTACCACTTCTGTTCATTTCAGAGATCATCCTTTATGTATCACTCCCTCAAGTTTCTTTTTTCCACACACAAATTGTTTATCCACAATCTCATCATTATGCATATTAGTGCATCATGCTTTTGTTACATCATGTTGCATGCATGATAATAATAATTTTCAACAACAAAGAACGTGTCATTCACACACAAGTTTCTAGTTGTAGACCTATTTCTAGAGTGTCTGTGGGCTAGCTAAGTAGAATCCACATATCCCTCATTTTTTACTACAGAACCTTTGTTGACACAGGTGGAAAAGCTGATCCAGGAACGAGGCTGGGAGTTCATGTGGAATGAGCGTTTGGGATACATCTTGACCTGTCCATCTAACCTGGGCACTGGACTTCGGGCAGGAGTGCACATCAAACTGCCCCTACTAAGCAAAGTAAAGGAGTTGTGGGGTTAGAGAGGGGTGTAAGTAAGAAGGGGGATCTGGATGGGGAGGGTGCAGGCACTCTGTAAAGAGCCAGACATATGTTGTGATAAAGGGCAAGAGTTCTGAGCAGATGGGAACTGCCTCTACTTCTACTGACCTACCTCTCATCTTCTATCTTGCATCTAGGATAACCGCTTCCCAAAGATTCTGGAGAACCTAAGACTCCAAAAGCGTGGTACTGGAGGAGTGGACACTGCTGCCACAGGCAGTGTCTTTGACATCTCTAATTTGGATCGACTTGGCAAGTCAGAGGTGAGGTCCTAAGGAATTAGGCTAAGGAGATGTGTAGGTCTATGGCAATTGCAATAAGGCGCTGAGTAAGCCTCAGGAATGTGATAGAATCTGAGATGAAATTCAGGCTGAGTGGAGGAGGGACTGGAAATGAGTTTTCAGAGCTGGAAAGTCAATGCTAAAGAAAGAAACTCAGATTGTGGGAAGCAGAGATCAAGGATTAGTATCCTTCAGGTGGAGCTGGTGCAACTGGTCATCGATGGAGTAAACTATTTGATTGACTGTGAACGGCGTCTGGAGAGAGGACAAGATATTCGCATCCCTGCACCTCTTGTGCACAGCAGGCACTAACTCCTCATCCCCAGGAGGGAGCTCAAGATCCCCAGGACTTCTGCCTATTTAATGGTCCTATTCTACTTGTCCTGGACCTGTCCTTCTCCCCACTTCCAAGTAAAGACCCCATGCTATATTCCAACTGTCTATGTTATTTCTATTGGTGGGGTGAGGAGGGAGTAGCCTCAAGGAAATGAAAAGAAACAGTGGGGTTATTTCTGATGACAAGAAACTCCAGATATGCCAGGAATTCCAATTCTCAGGTGGGTGGAATGCATTAGAATTTTACCCATATTCCTTCCTCATCCACTTACTGAGAATAATTAGAATATACTTCCATTTATACTTTATTCAGTATGATGTAAGTTTTCTCTCCCAACAATCTCCTTCAATTGAAAGGACATTATCATAACAGGTGATCAATAAAGCTGATGGTCAGTGCCAGAGACCAGGAGGACTGGAACCAGTCATAGAGACCCCAGGCTGAGCTTCGACCTATAATGAGACAAAGAATGGGAGGAATATCACAATTCTGTTCCCTAGGAGCCTTTGATGCTTCGAAACTAGCTCTTGGCCTATAGACCCCTCCAGTCCAGAAATCCCCCTTTGTGGGTTCTGAAGGCCAGACAGCACTAAGTTAGGACTTAGAGTCTAGGTCACATGATAGCATGTCAGGCTGTGCTAGTAGGAACTCACCCTGCTGTTCTGGAATCTCCCTCCCTTCGTGCTGGGCCCAGGCAACTGCTCTTCGCTGCTCAGGACTCAGAAAGGCCATTTGCTCAGGAGTGACCGCTACAGCCTGAACACTAGTGAAACTAGATAGCTGGATGGGGTTGAAAACCACCTGGAAGTGCGGACAAGGATCAGTGCATCCATGTAACCCTGCTGGACCCTGGCTTTCCTGTGATTACCCTAGGCCCCTGTCCATGAACACTTACTGCAAACTTAGGAGCAGGGATGACAGAAATGGCAAGAGGAGTTAGGCCCTGGATCTGTCCCTGCAGTAATGCTGAAAGAGCCAAGTCTGGGATTCCAGCTATTGAAGGAAGCAGGATGTGTCTAAATATCACAGTCCACCCATGATGTGGAAATCAAACCTTGACAACTAGTACCAGCAGTAACACAGCCTCTCCACCTGCTATTGTGCCAATTTCAGTGAAGATCTCAGGTCCCCAGTTGCTGACTGGGCCAAAGCCACCAGGCAGAACAAGTAGGTAGGCCAGAACCTCCAGCTGTTCCTCAGAGCATGGGAGATGCAGGTTACCCAGAAAGAGAGCTGCTTGGCTGTAAAGCAACAGGGAGGAAGAGAGAAGAATTCAGCTTCAGTGATAGACACTGTGATCACAGAATGAAGTAAGAAATGGCTTTAAATGAGCTCGCTTCCTTCATGGCACTACCCCTTCATGAACCCATCTTCACCTCAATAGCACCACCCAAAGCCCTCCATAGGTGACCTAAACTCCCAACTGCTGATATGCTGTAACTCCTCTGGCCGCAGTCCACAAAGTGTGTAACCCAGTGCTGTCAGGTGAATGAAGTCCAAGTGGCTCACATGCCGACCACTCTGCTGTAGAAAACTGGAGACCACAACTCGGAGCTGGGGGGAAGCACAGGATAAAGAGAGAAATCATGAGGAATTAATGGATGGGGATGTAATTAGGGGAATAGAGGGTGATACTATATTATATTGCCTTGTTATTAAGATCAGAAGATCCACTAGCCATGGAGAAGGTCAAGGATATACTCTCCCCCTCAGAAAAAGTAAATAAATAAAAGAAGAAAAAAGGGGAAAGAAAAATAGGAGACCAGAGAATATTATGTATCTAGAATCTCAGAATGAATAAATCAGAGTTCCTAAACGTGGGGCTGGAGAGATGGCTCAGTGGTTGGGACCACAGGCTGCTCTTGCAGAGGACCCGATTCCATTCCTATCACTCACCTGATGATCTACAATCCATCTATAACTCTAGTTCCAGGGGATCCAACACCCTCTCTGGCTCACATACATGCAGACAAAACATTCATACACATAAAATAAAAATAAATAAGAGTTCCTAATGTCACTATTATGAAATATTAAGAAATCTAGAAGCCGAGTAGGCACACTTGTAATCCCAGAGCTTGACAGACTTCTGGCAGGAGGATCAGGAGCTCAAGGTCATCCTCAGTTATATAGCAAGGTCAAGACCAGCCTGGGCTACATAAGGTCCTGTCTAAAAAACATAAAACAAACAAAACACAACAACAACAACAAAACCCAAACCAAGAAAAGATAGAAGGAATGGCCAGGAAAGCTCACAAGACAAAAATTCCTTAGGTTTAGATAACTTAGAGGAGCAGATCTATAGGATGATGTCTAAGGAGTGGCAAGGGAGAAGATGTTACCTGGACAGAGCTCCAGCCATCTATTTGCCCTAGGGTGCTCAGCACTCCCCAGTCTACCAGGATCAGCTCCTGTAGCTCCTGCTCTCCTAGACCTATTAAGAGCCGGCCCAGCTGCAGGATCTGCTCAGGACGGAATCCTTGGGGGGGACCCCACAACTAGGAAGAAAACAGGAAAATGTTAGTGGAAACAGCACTGGACTAAGAGTCAGAATGTGGAATCTTAGACTTTAGCTGTGGAACATTCACTGGGCCGATCACTTGCCTTTTCTTTAGTTTCCTCAACAGTAAAATGAGAGAGCTTCTCTGATTTAAGGGTTACTGAAAGACCTAGAGTCTCAGTAGGAAAGAAGAGCAAACTCTAGTCCACGAATTTTAAACTTTAATATGAACCAGACTCCCTGAAGTGTCTGCTAAAATGGATGCCCAGACCCAAACTCCAGAGAATTTTAGTCTATCATGGGACCCCCAATGCCAGCCTTTTAAAAATCTGCTCCCCCAGATTATTTTGATGGACACTGAAATAATCCCTCTATCCACTGTACTAGCTTGCTGTCCTCAATATTGATCCCTTCTGACCTCCTTGTGATCCAAACTCTCTCTTATCTTCTGTTTCCTCACCACTTACCCAATTCTCCATTCCCTTGGATTCCATATCACACCCAACCAACTTCCTCATGTTTTGACCCCTCCAGCTGCTATTAGCCTCTCCATCCCTGACCTGCTTTGCTTTGCCCATGGCTGCCCGTAGTTCCTCAGGCCCAAGTCCCGGGTCTCCTGCAAATAGTGCCAGGCAGTCTTCAAAGTCTGAAAGTTCCATCTCTGCAATCTGTGTTGCAGACCAGGCTGCTGGGAAGGTCCCCCGTATGTCTGCACAGTTTGGGACAGGCTCTGAAGCAGAAAGACAGGACCGAGGGGTTAGTATAGTACTAAATTATGCCCAGAGTGATCTCTGTAGATGGAATGATCTTTTCAACCTTTTGAGAATGGACAGTATGGGCAGTATAGAATAAAGAATGATTACAGAGTGAGATTTATAGAGCTCAAAGAGTATTTGAACAAAAATGACTGGATAAAACAAGGCCCTTATTTACTAAATGAAAGACAGAGGAGATTGCTCAGATGTTTAATGGAAAAGCTGAGTCAGAACCTAGGTTCTAGCCTTCCTTCTAGAGAAAGAGGGCCACACTTTGCCAAGCAAAAGCTGAGTCAGCTGATAAGAGAACAAGAAAATGGAGTCCTTGGCTAAATTGTATTCTGTTTTATTTTGAGACAGTGTCTCGTGTAGCCTAGGTTGGCCTCAAATCAGTTATATAGCTGATGCTGACCTTGAACTCCTGATCCTCCTGCCTCCACCCACCAAGGTCTGGGATGACAGGAGTGTACCACCACACCTGGCTTTAAATTTTTAATGGGTTATAAACTTCCAGAATTATAGACCCTTAGAACTAGAAGAATCCTTGAATTCCATCCTCTGACCCATTTGCTTTATTGATTACCAAAGCCTGGAAAGCTGGTCTGCAAATCTGCTCAAGGGGCACAACACACCTACAGCCCAGGCTTTTTTCCCCCTTGTGGTGCTGGTGATAGAGCCCAGGGCTTCACACATGCTGGGCAACATTCAGCCACTGAATTTCACCCACAGTTGTGGAGTCCAGGCTTCTGACGGAATTGTTTGCCTTGATACTTTCTCCCATACACCCTACTGGACATATGAGTATTTGGGTACTTTACCTGGGAGACCCTCAGCAGCTGGACGTACAATCCCAGCCACCAGAGCTGCTTTCTTGTGAGCAAGCTGTGGACCAACACACAGATGTCCGACTCTACTCTGCTCCCAGCTCTGCTGCTTTTCTAGAAGCCGCTCCAGGGTCTCTGGGCCCAAAGCCTCCTGCAGGATAAAGTAGAGGGAGAGAGAGAGAAGATCTGGGCAGAGTCAAGCCCTGTGCTACAGCTATAATTTCAAAATTCTATTGTCACTGTAATCACTCATGCCTGTAATCCTAACCCTTGACATGCTGAAGCAGGATTGCCATGAGTTTGAAGCCAGTTTGGGCTACAGAATGAGTTCAGGCCAGCCTGAGCTATAGAGTAAGCTCTGTCTCAAACAAATGAGCAAGTAAACAGACAAAAAATTTGAAAACATAAAACAATCCCTGCCTTTGTTTAGCAATCTCCCTAGACACAGGCTGCACTCCCTTTGCCCTCCATGACTTGAGCTCCCCACAGCCACCCCCAGCCTCCTCTATGCATTTACCCTTTCCCTTGTTCCTTCACCTCACCCTGGGGATCAAGGAAATAGCCTCAGTAGACAGAGTGAATACTAGGCGTCCAGCTTGTTCTACTTCATCCTGGCTCCACAACTCTGGTTTCCTAGGGGACAGGAGGGACAGCATGGAATTGAGGGAACTGTGAGGAAAATAGGCATACTATGATAGGGGACTCAGGGAACCTTTAAACATATAGACTGGGCTGCCACTCAGGTCGAAGGAATGGTTAGTGTATATTAAAATCTGACATTTCTTGCCAGGTGTGGTGGTACATGACTTTAATCTCTGCACTCAAGAGGTAGAGGCAGGCAGATCTCTATGAGTTCAAGGCCAGCTTGGTCTACATAATGAGTTCCAGGACAGCTGGAGGTACAGGGAGACCCTGTCTCAAAAAGACCAAAGAAAAAAAAAAATCCTGGCTTTTCGAAAGAGCCGTACCCAAGAACAGGTTCCTGCAATAGCAGCCATCCAAGCTCTGTGGCAAACATCTCTCCTAGGCAGAAGCCCTGCAGCTGACTGAGATGGGACAGCAGAATCGATAAAGGGATCCGCCGTGTGCTCTCTGTTCCCAGGAATCCAACCAAGGGGCCCAATGTCTCCAGGGCTTCTTCTGAGATTGGGGTCTCCTTTGGAACCTGGAGAGGGGCATCAGGTCTTAGATAAAGCACTTGACTCAGTACCAGACTCTTTGATCAAGGCAACGCGCCCCTTGACCTTCCCTCCCCCTTTGTTCACTGCCTTAAACAGTGAATGAGCTCAAATAAGAGCAGAAAGAAAGACTAAGGGATAGACCCCAAAGGATTTCTTAGACTCCAAGGGGCATGAACATGAAACATGAAGCAGGTTATCAATGGAAAGGCAGATCCAGAGGCCAAGGCTTTTTAGGGTCTTGTAGGTAGGAACTTGTCTAGGGTTTGGGCCTAGAAGTGAAAGAGCACTGTCTGAAGGGCAAGTGTTGCCAAGGACAGCACTCTGATTCTGGTAGGGTGGACTCTTACCAGGTTTTTTAGTGCCTTCTCTGCCAGGGCTTCCTGGTGGAATGGGGTCAGTGCCAGTAGCTGCTCTGGAGCACTCTGTATCAACTCCACTACCAACATGATGGAATCATTGGATAATCTATCCATCAGCTGGATCCTATTATTGAAATTTGACAGTAGGGACATTTAGTTGGTACTGAGTCAAGATGAATAGAGATCACCAAACCCCACGTTCCCCAGACAAGAGCTAATAGAACAAAGTCTGTGACTCTCTACAGAACTAATATTAAACAGTCCTCAGCCATTGTGTTTGAAGGGAGAGAACAAAGACAGTGACAGGTCTCTAATTTTTCTTTAAAATTTTTTAAAATTTCTTTCTTTTTATTTTATGTGGATGAGTACATGTATAAAAGTGCACCTATGTTGTAAAATGTGAGTGGAGGCCAGTAGAGGGTGTCAGATCCCTTGGAACTGGAGTTGCAGACAATTGTTAGCTGCCACATGGGTGCTGAGAACTGAACCGGGGTCCTCTGTAAGAGCAGCTAGTGCTCTTAACCACTGAGCCATCTCTCCAGCCACCAACTCTAATAGCTCTAATTTTTTTGTTAACAAAATCCTACCTAATCTAATGAATTCAAAAGCCCCATATATTGAACATTATTAAAATATTTGTTATCTCTCTTTCACAAATAAGAAACTCTGATTTTCTGACTTGTGGTTCAAAGTCTTTTACCTCATTCAGGCTCTTGAAGTTCTAAGTTATCTTAAAGAACCAATATGGTTAAAGGGATTTAAATGGCCTTTTACAAACAAAAACAGAAATCAGAAGTGATATCCTGTACTCTTATATAGGGTGCAAATTCTAGAACTAGTCCAAGTTGTATGAGAGACAAATCTATGGAAGGCCTGCAAACGTGTAAGGATGAGAACCAATTGATTTTTACTCTCCTCATATCTCCAGGAAGTCTTTATCCCAGATGATAACAGCTGGGGTGGGTAAAAATGGGAAAAGAAGCACATGGATAAGATACTCAAAAACTAGAATCTCTGGGTGGAAGGAACCTTGGACTCATCTAGGCTTCTCTCTCCCAACTCTTACTTATATTTGCCCTCTAGCATTCTTTACATGGTATCATCCAGTTTAGTTTTGGATAGTACAAATGATCTCTACTTCAGTTATATTACTTTGTGCAAAAATCTGATTTTTTAACTCATTACTTCTAGTTTTGTCCCATGGAACTATTCAGAAATAAGCTCAATATGCTGGGAGTAGTGGCACACACCTTTAATCCCAGCACTTTGGAGGCAGAGGCAGGTGGATCTCTGTGAGATTGAGCCTAGCCTGATCAGTGAGTTCCAACCCAGCTGGGGCTACAATGAGACCCTATCTCAAAAACACCAAAAAAAGAAAAAAGGAAAGAAGGAAGGAAGGAAGGAAGGAAGGAAGGAAGGAAGGAAGGAGAAAGGAAGGAGGGAGAAAGGAAGGAGGGAGAAAGAAGAAAGAAAGAAAAAGAAAGGAAGGAAGGAAGAAGAAAGGAAGAAAGAACAAAGAAGGAAGAAAAGAAGGAAGGAAGGAAGGAACGAACAAAGGAATGAAGGAATGAAGGAAGGAAGGAAGAGAAAGGAAGGAAGGAAGGAAGGAAGGAAGGAAGGAAGGAAGGAAGGAAGGTTGGTTGCACATTTTCTTTTTGGTAACTCCTTGGGGATTTCAAGGTTTTTTTACACATTTTTCATGTTTTTTTTCTCTTTAGCCACTCCTCTGAACATACTGAGAACATGGTGCTCTAAGATTACAAGTCCCTGGGACAGAATTAGACCATTTCCTCCCTCATTTCACATATTCTACATCCACTAACATGGCTTAGATTTTTATTAAATTTACCTGACAGGTGGCAACACAGTGTCACCAGCCTCAGCTATCCTATGCTGGGAGCCAGCAGACACACAAAACAATTTTGAAAGAAATCTCTGGGCTATAAATAAATGATGCGTGGAAACCACCAAACAGAAAACTGCCTCGTCTAGGGCATTTCCCAAGGGGAGAGCTACTTGCAGTTGAATATCCCAAGGATCCCGTATCTCCCTCCAGCCATGCCACTTACGGTAAGTCCAGAAGTAGCTTTGTGTCAAGCTCACTCAGTTCTGGACCTAGGGTGGTCAGCTCTGGCTCTGGCATTGCCATCCTCCTCTGTAGCTCTGCCCAGATACAGGCCCTCTGAGGACAAGGTGGACAAAGCAGAGTTAAGAGATAGATGAGCATGGGGGCTGGGGTTCTGAATCCAAGGTCCAAGCCTCCCACTAATATCTAAGAGTTCCCCCCACCTCACCAGGCTCCCTCGAACACCAGTGGGCAGTTGGTAGAGCATGTGTACCACATCAAGGAAGTCTACCATTGAGTTGATCTGCTGCAGAAACTCACAGGACATTCCCCCTGCCAGGTTGCCCAGAGCCCTGTGGGTATGTGAGTGGGAAGATGCTCTTTTAACACATGTAATAGCTTGCCTGCACCTTAGTATCAGTACTCTCAACACAAAGACAGATGTTCATTTGTTTGCGAAATGCTGTGCATAGATACCTTCATTGGCTCCCCATAACATCAACACTGTTTATCAGAGAAGAAATAAAGGTCTACAGAGGTCAAGGGATGTTCTGAATGTCAATCTACTAAACGTAAATTGAGATTGGAGTCATGTCTTCAGATTCCAAAGCCCCTGGTTCTTTTACTGCAGGTGTATCTAAGGTGCTAGCTACTTCTTCCTCTAGAGGCTCTGAAGTCACCTTAAATTAAGAACAGCAAGAGAGTTTACACTGGGTCAGGAACTGTGACAAATATCTTATATGCCTTATCTCATTTCATCTTCACAATGACTATCTACTTTAATTCTCATATAAAAAGAAAAAAACTGAAGCTTAGAGTAATTAAGTGACTTGATCTTGGTAACAGGGATGTGATCTGAGCTCAGATTGTCTGAGTCCTGTAGCAATAATTAGGATAGCTGTGGCACTGCAGAAGGGAAGGAAGAGGGCAAGCGGAGGGAAAAATGTTGTTAATAAGGCTGCAACAATCCGTCCATTTCTGTATCCTAATCACACAATACCAGGTATATAGTAAGCATGTGGTGGTAGTAGTAATAATAATATCAATTGAATGAAATTGTTTAATGTAAGTTAAGTTACTCACTGCAGATTCCTGAGGGTCACATTGGTAGGCATCTGCATCTTCTTCCAGAGAAACTGTGCCTATAAAACAAAGAAAGAACAGCTTCCCAGTAGAGATATTGTCCTAAAGATCTCAGAAGCCTTGGGCTCAGTCCTACTTCTCTACTTGGGCTCAGTCCTCCTCTACTTTTTGGTTCCCACCAGTCCCTCTCTCTCAAAGCTCTGTTCCTTTGAGAGAGAGAGAGAGAGAGAGAGAGAGAGAGAGAGAGAGAGAGAGAGGCCAAGGGAGCCCAGTAAAAAGGTATCAAATCAGGGGCTGGAGAGATGGCTCAGCGGTTAAGAGCACTGGTTGTTCTTGCAGAAGACCCGGGTTTGAATCCTAGCACCCACATGGCAGCTAACAACTGTCCATAACTCCAGTCCCAGGGGGTCCGACAGCGTCTTCTGACCTCTGCAGGTATTGCACAGCATGGGTGCAGGCAATACACACATACACATAAAATAAAAATTAATAATATATAAAAAAAATTTTTAAAGGTATCGAATCAAATAGAACAAGGGATGAATAAAGGAGGTGAAGGAGAGGAAGTTCTGAGGGAAGAAGAATAAATTACCTGCTGCTCAGACCAAGGCAGCTGCCGATAGCGCCTTCGGTTTGCCAGAAGAACTGCAGTGTCCAGCTGTAGTAGCTTTAATGGGAGCAGGGGAAGCAGGCAGTCTGGCCAAGTGGTGGGGATGGGCTGCTGGCAGTGATGGGAATAGCAGTGCAGTGATAAGTGAGAGGACCTGCACTAGTCCTCAGAGAAGGGCAGAAAGGGACCAAAGCTAGGACTAGGGTGGAATGACACTTGTCATTGTAGCAGTGAATGCCTAAATGCCCTCAGACTTCAGGCTATTGAGGCCATGTCACTGCTGGTTAGACAATTAAAGAACAGAAGTCCCTTAGCGTCCCTCAGCCTTGGTCTTTCATCTGAAAGCAGGTGGCTGGCCTGGAAGATTTCTCAGGCCCTCTGGCTTTGACATTGTAGGGCAGCAGGGGTCATGCTGTTGTATATCAGGAAGACGGGAGTTGTTAGTGTCTAGGTGGGCACAGCTAACCTGAACTTTCAGAGCCACTGCAGGGGGAGTGTGTGAGATGACACCAGCCAGATGAAACCAGCCAAACATGGAGAGGAGCTGAGTTTGGAGATCCCATACATACCTGACCAGGAATGCACACAGCTGCACCAGCGCCTGTTGTACCCATATTTTTAATGCCATCTTTCACCTGCACAAGAATTAGTGGTATTTATTTGTATACCTGTATAGTATGAGTGTGTGTGTGTGTGTGTGTGTGTGTGTGTGTGTGTGTGCGTGTGTGTGTGTGCGTGTGTGTGTGTGTGTGTGTGTGTGTGTGTGTGTGCGTAAAGAGAAATGGTGAGGTTGAGAGGAGCCTTCCCTGGGCACAAGAAAGATGCCCTCTTCCCAAACAGCACCCAATCCCTGCTTATCTCCTGTTTAAATCATACCCGAAAGGCCTGCAGCAGTGCAGCCGTCTGGCAAGCTGATAGCCGTGACAATTCAGGGGCCAGGCAGGAACAAGCCCCAACCAGAACTCGTTTAGGAATGGCCTGGAGTGTGTGGGGGCTGAGACCTGGCAGGAGAGGATGCAAGGAGCAGAGTTCCTCCAGGGACAGCTGAGGAGCAAGAGATAAGAGGCCTGAAGAAGAGGGGCAGGGTGATGAGGAAGACAACAATCCAGTGCACAGGGCAGCTGATATGAGGGAAGCTGAGAGGGAAGAGATGCAAGAGTCATGGAAACAGGGGACAGAGACCTCTAGAGGATATTGAGAAGTTGCTGCTACTCACATCATGCCTAGGGAGGAGCCTTCCAAGCAGCAGAACAGCCTGTGATGGGATGGGTCAGGGATTAACATCTCTCAGGCCCCAGTAGCCAAGTCCCAAACAGGTCCTTGGACCTGCTCTCTAAAACTTCTAGCTCCCTCTCAACCACCCCAGGGACTCACCTGCCTGAGGGTCCTTCTTGATCTGAGGAAGGGGAATTAGGGATGCCTTGCTGGCAGAGTTCTTTACTGCTTACCCAGGGAAAGAAGGAGCTGATGGTATCCCTATATGTGATTCTCATAACTGGGACTCCAGGGAGTAAGACAAGCTCACCTGGGCAGGTGTGACACTGGCTCCCTGTAGGGCAGGAAGCATGGCTCTGAGCTGGGTCTCTGACAGCTCCTGCAGGAAGCGGAGGCCAAGCTGAGGAAAGAGAGGAGCCCAGACCCGTAGCTCTCGGGGGCTTAAGACAGCTCCTCCAGATGAGCGCAGCACCCCCAGAAGTTCATATGCCACCTGTAGCAAAAGAAGGTTTGGAACAGGAGAGAAAAGACAACTGTATCCTGGATGTCCTCTCCAAAGTCACATTTGTGTTTAACAGAGCTGGGACTTGGAACCAGGGACAGGACCAGCGTAGATTACTATCAAGAACACAGCAGGTGTATAGGGTAGGGCTAAGAAGAGGTGGTAGCAGATAAGAATGCATAGGACTAGGGAATGGAAGTGGCAGAGGTGGGAGCTGGCAGCACTGTGCTTGAGATGGGTTAGTGACATTGGGCAAGTCACTGACATAATCCCAGGGGAAGTCTGGCATCTTTTAGGTCTGTGTCAAGGGGCTCACCCGTCCTTCTGGACTGAGGGTCCCATTGGCTGCACATTCCAGCAGCCCCTGTTCTACAGGTCCCATTGGATCACTTAAAGGCACCAGGCTTTGTAGCTCTTCAGGACTCAGGAAACATGCGAGGGACCCAAGCCTGAATGAGGCATGAAGCTAAGGCTAGCATCAAGGCACAAATTATGAAGGTACATGGAGCAGGCACTCTGACCCCCAAATTAGGAAACATGAGCACCATATATAGGTCTCTCTCTAGGAGCCCCTAGATTTCCAGGGACACTTCCTACTCTCTTGCCCCTTCCTTCCTAGGACACCAATCTACCAGGGCAGCTGTCTCTGCCTCTCTAAACCCCCATGCTGGTCACAGGTATTGATTCCACAACCACTCACCTGCGCACCTGCTCTTCGCCATCCTCGACACTTTGGTTCACCAGGCTACGCAGCACATGTCGGGCATGCCCTGGCCCAAGACCTGCCACTGGCCAACTATCCTCCAGGGCTTGGATCTAAGATCGGGAGAGTAACTTTGGGCAACTGTGAGATGGGGATCCACTAGGAGGCATGTCCCTAACTCTTATCCCATCTAGCAGAGAATGGGCCAGTCATATAAAGATGATTCTCCTACCTGGTGAGGGCTGAGCTGCAGAAAATTCTCCAGAGGAAGATGGGGGAGCAGGGGTAGCACTGCCCACAGCCGCTCCTGGGGCCAATCAGGCACTTCTCCAAAGAGCTCAGGGGCCAACAGTCGTTTTGCAAGGGCCTCCTTCTGTTCAGGTTTCATTCCTGAGCTGTGATCCCGGATGGCAGCCAGACTAAGGAGAGTAACAGGTCTTAATCTTTTTCTTGTATCCTCTTTGCTATAGTCCTGCTGTCATGGACAAGAAGTGGACTCTCCCTGCTATAATAGAGACGATCTCCGGAAGGGATTTCTATAGTAGATGGACTTGACCATCCCCTGAGAGAAGCAGGAGTGGGGCTTACACGCTGTCATTGGCCAAAAGAGATGCTGGGAAGCGCATCAGATCAGAGACAGCCAAGAAAGGGATGAGTGGTGACAGATCAATGAAGAGCTGGGAGGTGAGGCGTGGGTACCGCTGGAGCAGCAGGGCTGTTAGGCGACCCATGGCCTGTTCTTCAGATGGTGGTACCTGTAGGAACACAGAAATGGTTGCTGACTCTTAGTATCTTCTGCCATCTCCTTTGGGGTTCCTCCTCTCACTAAGGCAAGCCCTCTGAATATTAGGTTCCGGGAACTTTTGATCCTTTGATTCCCTTCCCTTCTTCCCTTTCCCTCTGTCCACCTGAAGCTGGGCCCAGGAACGATGCATAAGTGTCAGGAAGCCCTGTGCAGCCTCCATCTCTGCTGAAAGCACCAATTGCTGAAGATCTTCTGGAGGCATGTGTAGGTATGCCTGGGTACAGGAAAAGATGGTGGGCCTGGCCTCATTGGGCCCAGACTTCAGGCCATAGCTGTCACTCTGCAACCCATGTGTCCCACTACCCATTACCTGTACTAAGATCTTCAGGGCCCAAACACTCTTCTCTCTCTGAAGTAGATCCCATAATACAGGCTAGTAGGGAGAAAATGTTGCAAGAGAGCTGTCTTGTTTATCCTCCTGAATCTTCCCCAACTCAACTTGTAAGGATGCTTATTTGAAGCTAAAATGTGTGTCTTTTTAGACAGTAAGTCCCTTTAAGCCTGGAACCACATCCTAACTTTTCTTATATCCTCTCCCATGCTGGGCACATACGTGGACAACAAATACATGTAGACCTGAACCAAATGACCAAATAGAGTCATTCTATCTAATTCCACTTTACTCAGCCTAGGGCTTAAAAAAGAGGTCTTGGGCTTGGAAAGATGGCTCAGCAGTTAAGAACACTGGCTGCTCTTGCAGGGGACTGGGGTTTGGTTTCCAGCACCCACAAGGCAGCTAACTCCAGTTCCAGGGGATCCAACCCCTCTTCTGACCTCCGAGGGCATTGCAAAACATGAGTGCACTTACATACATGCAGGCAATACACTCATACACATAAAATAAGAATAAATAAAATTTTGAAAATGTTTTTGCTGGGCGCGGTGGCACATGCCTGTAGTCCTAGCACTTGGGAGGCAGAGGCACGTGGATCTCTGTGAGTTCAAGGCCAGCCTGGTCTACATAGTGAGTTCCAGGCCAACTGGGGCTACAGTTTTGGCCTGTTTCAAAAAGGCTAAGAAAAAAAAAAGTTTTTAAAAAGTGGTCTTAACATGGAGTAAGGAATTTGTATATATTCAAAAGAATCTAGCAAAGTACCTTGTACATAACACTCAATGATGTAATTATGGAATTTAACATATTTTTAAAAATATTTTATTATTTTTATTTTATGTATATGAGTGTATTGCCTGCATATATGTGAGTGCACCGTGTCCATGCAATACCACGGAGGTCAGAAGAGGGCTTCAGATTCCCCTGGAAGTGGAGTTAAGGACGGTTCGTAGCTGCCATGTGGGTGCTGGGAATCAAACCTGGATCCTCTGCAAGAGCAGTCAGTGCTCTTAATCACTGAGCCATCTCTCCAGCCCGGAATTTAACATATTTTAAACACCTTTACTTTACAGAAAAAGAACTATGGCACAGAAAAATAATTATCTTCTTCAATTCACAATAATTTATGTAATAGTCGAACCTGATGAAGTCTTCTGATTTGTAGCCCTCCCCAAACTCTTTTTTTGTATGTGTGTCTTACTTTTCAGAATTCTGCCAGCCCATGAATCTCACTTCCTAGGGAGAAAATTAAAACCCTTTAACTTGATCCCTCTCTGTTCTGTAGTAGAAATGGGGAGAATCAGAATATAACAGAATAATGCAACAGCATGAGAGATGCTGGCTCAGCAGTTAAGAGTTCTTCCTGCTCTTCCAGAGGACCCAAATTTAATTCCAGGCACTCATGTCTAATGGCTTATAATCTCCTGTAACTCCAGCTTCAGGGATCCAAAGCCCTCTTCTGGCTTCCACAGGAACCTGCACACATATGATATACATTCCCACAGACACAAACACATACCACACACACATATACACATTAAATAAATGAATAACTAGAATAGGATAGTATAGGATAGAATCATATTTGTTGCGTGTCTATGTATCATGCACTGGGCTATGCCTACAGTGCATATCATTTAATCTAATCTTTGCAAGTATTCTAAAAGCTGGTGTCTACCCAGTTTATAGATGAGAATATTTTTCTCACAGACAGAATAATCTGCCCAAGTTTAGTCACAGAACCAAGATGTGATCCTAAGCTTTTAGACCCTAGAGCTGTGTGTGTCAATCACTTTAAGTACTATACTGCTCCTTCTAGTAGAGGAATTTCCTGAAGGCCCTTCCCTTGCTCCAGGGGCTTTCGCTGAGGCAGCTCACTCACACTGAAGCAGGACAGCAGCTCCATCTTGCTCATACCAGAGCTGAGGCTGACAGTGGACTCGAAGCCTGGTGGGGTTGGCTGTTCCTGCTGCAGGTACTCCCCTACTGTCCGCAGTACACTGTGACGGCCCTCTGGGCGGAAAGCATCCCAGAATGAACAATTGTCTGGGAGACTGGAGAGTAGCAGGGCTTGACCCAACATCCCTTGGGTCTCATCCCCTCCAGCCCCTGGACCCAGAAGGAAGGTCAGTAGACGCAGGAGATAATGCAGGCGTGTGGGGTGGGCAAGAGCTGGCACAGAGGACTGACAGCGTGGCAATTGGGATAGCATGCCAAGCAGAAAGGGGCCAGGGGCCAGGCAGAGTGGGGATGGTCCCAAAGGTGGCAGAGAAGGCAGAAGGGGGCCCAGCATGCCTTCTAGAAAGCAAGTGTCATTGCCTCCACGACTTATCCTGCACTGGCCTGCTAACCAAGCCCAGAAGGGAACCAGGGCCTCATACATGGTATCATTGGCACAGACCATGAGCAGGAAGCTCCCCCCATCTGGACAGCGTTCCCCACAGGGTCCAACATGGCAAGGTGGGAAGGCAGTGGCATCCAAGGTAGGGCCCTGGCATACATGCTGAATCCAAGCCTGGTTTCGGGGGGGCACAGCCTGCAGACTCTCCTCCACACATAGCCGCTCAGCCCACAATGTCTCATTCTCCAAGAAGCAACCCCAAAAGATCTCTGGGGTGAGAGGCACAGGGACCAGCCCTTCAGGACAGTTGGTGGGGGGCGGGAGCAGGCCGGCACAAAGCCTCTTTACCAGGCGGCGATTGGGGCCCGACAGGGCTGAAAATGAGAGATTGCTGCAGACTGCATCCAGAAACTGATCAGGAAATTGATCATGGCAGGCCTGGAGCCAACTTTGGGCACCTGATGCCCATGAGACTGCATACCACACAGCTGTCTGGCAGATAGCAGCAGTGCTGGGAAGGGGCTGTGGGGTGGCAGGCTTGGTAAGCTGGCAGAGCAAGTGGATAGAGAAGTTGGAAATGCTGTAGGGTGGTGCTGGGCCTGAGTGGTTCTGGCAGAGGGCCTCCACAGAGATGGCTCTCCGATGTCGAGGACTGATGTGAACTGAAGTCTGGGAAGCCCTGGGCAGAGGCACTCCTGTGCTCAGGCAGTGCAAGAGGGCAGGGGGTGGAGGTGGCGATCCAGACAGAAAACCCAGCGCCTGGACATCCCAGGAAAGGTTATGCCGAATGCCCCTAGGTGCAGAGAGAGGTGCAGGCAGGATATGATCAGTTTGCATTTTCTCTAGCTGAAGACTCTGACCCCAGAGCATATAGCAAGCATAGGTTTTTCCGAAAGTAAGCTCCTTGAGAGTATAGGTATTCCTGATTTGAATGCTAGGTAGGCTGGAGGAAAAGACAGACTTGTGCTATCAAGGCACAGGCTCGCCTAAGACAGCCCGCTCCTATCCACCTGGCCTTGTCCTTTCTTCTGTCTTCATCTGGTTTTAGGTAGCTTAAACACAACCCTTGGTTGGCCTCATATCAGGAAATCTGCCCGGCAACTGAATATGTCTAACTGTGCTCTGGCATTGTTTCACTGAATTAGTAAGGGGTGGAGGAGTCCAGTTATTCTTTTTTAACATTAGATACTATGCCTGGGCACCATTTTAAGCAGCTTTTTAAAAAAAATATTTTATTTATTTATTTTATTTTATGTGTATGTGTGTATTGTCTGCACGTAGGTAAGTGCACCCGTGTCGTGCAATGCCCGCGGAAGACAGACTTCAGATCCCCTGGAACTGTAGTTACAGACAGCTGTTAGCTGCCATATGGGTGCTGGGATTCGAACCCAGGTCTTCTGCAAGAACAGTGTTCTTAACCGCTGAGCCATCTCTCCAGCCCCTTAAGCGGCTTATGTTTTATCAACTCATTTGATCGCTTATAACAAAGCTATTACCATCTTTATTTTACAAATTGGAAAGCTGAGGCATAGATGGAGTGTATGATGTATCCAAGGTCACATGGCTATGAAGAGGGGAAACTGAACACCAACCCAGACCATCACTCTCCAAAACCACTAATCCACACCCCCTCCCATCAGTTTTCTCTTGTAGCACTCTACCTCCAGATTGCCAGATCCCAATTCCCCAGAACTGGCAGTCTTCTCTTACTTACCATAAGAGCAGCTGTTGAAGGTTACCTAGGAGGGAGAAAGGAAGAAAACAGCCCTAATTTCACCTTCTTTCTCTGCCACATCCCAGCCCTAGTCTTAGCAGTACTCACCTCCCTGACACTGCCCATTGGTATCAGGCTCTGGTTGGCCCAGAATGGAAAAGACCTCATCCTGCAGGGAGTGAGTGACACGAAGCAGCCCCTCCTGTAAGGCAGCATAGAGGGGGGCCCCCACTGTGCGTAGCAGACCGCCCCAAAGAGCCTCCTCAGAACCCAGCTCCCCTGTTGGGGTAAGCAAGCCCAAAAGACCCTGTAAAAAGTGAGGAGCTGTCTCTCTCCCATCAAGACCTGTGACATTGGTGGGATCCACACTGGACTGCAACTGCACCAGGGCCTGCCAGCGTGTGCCCTCTAACAACAATAGCAGAGAAGGCAGCCAATCAGCAGTCAGGACACAGTCAGAGGGCCCATCACGGGTGCATGGGGGCCGTGTGGGGGAAGGAGGACCCCCAGGAACTAGAGCTCCTAGCAGTACCTCCACAAGTCCACCCAGAACACCTGCCTGGTGCACCAAAAAGTCCCGGGGAGTCTGCTCCTGTCCCAGCAGTGCCAGCACATCCCCCAGAAGCCCTAGCATTGGCTCCCAGTCCGGGCTTCCTCTCAGTGTTACTAGGAAATCGTGAAGCCGGAGGGCCGGGGGCTGGAGAGGTGGGGGCTCTCCTACTGGTCCCTCCCCCATCCTCCCAAGCTCAAAGGAAGAAATGTTGGCCAGGAATGCAGAGAACTGTGCCCGGCTGAGGGAATGCTGCGGAGCTTGGTCCAGAGTGGAGATGAATGACTTCAGGAAGGAGAGACCAGCATCCAAAGACTGAGGCCCTGTAGGGGCCAGAGTCACTATAAGGAGAAAGATCAGAAATCACTAAAGAAGAGAAGCCCAAAGCTCAAAGCAGCCTTGCCCTTGAGCACAATTCCCTTCAGGGATCTGAAGATAGAGTGAGGGAATAGTGAGCTGAGCCCTTTCATCAGTAAGTACTGGCCTGCTTTCTGAACCCTCACTGCTACCCCTAGCACCAATCTCTGGCCCTCTTCCTTGGCCCTTTTAGCTTTTCTCTAATTGGTTAACCTCCACATTATTATTCTATATACTTTTGGGGATAGGATTTCTCTATGTAGTCCAGGCTGGATTCAGACTCTCAATCCTCTACCTCAGTCTCCAGAGTCCTGGGCTAAAAGGCATAAGCCACCATGCCCTACCTCAATATTCTTGTCTCTTTAAAGGGGTTACTCCGCTTCATACCTGACCCGTTCACTGTTCTCACCTTTGTGTAATAGCAGCAGCAGGGGCCAGAGATTCAGAGCCATGTCTCCAGGTGCACACTGGTACTAGAGATGAATTCTGGTTATTCTCACCTTGAAGGAATAGGCAAGCTAAGGAAGGGTATTGAAGGCAGCCTGGGGCTCCACTGACACTGTAGTGTGGTCTTTCAGGAAACAATATCTGTAACCTGACATCAGGTTTGTCACTGGAGCCACTGAATACCTGATCCTTTGGCTCTGGAGTAGGGTGTACTTCTGTGAGAGGGACAAATGACAGGGGATCACAGGAAGCCCTCAGAAGATTACCCAAAGAGATAGCATGAGTTAGAAGCCAAGGATGCAAAGAGACATGGAGATGGCGAACTGGCAACTAGAGGTGTAATCTGAAGAGCTGTAGAAAATAAAAGTAAACCAAGAGGGTACAAAGGAAATTGAGTGACAAGTAGGATTTGAGGAATTTAAAGGAACCATAGAGAAAGGGAATGGGCAGCCAAATGTGAACAGAGAAAATAAATTATGATGATATCTGTTCCAAGGATGGAACATTTAGGAAGCAGATATCTGCTTCAAATTCACTATGTAGGGGCTGAAGAGATGACTTGGTGCTTAAAAACACTTGCAGGTCTTCCAGAGGACCCGGGTTCAATTTCCAGCACCCATATGGTGGCAAACAACCAACCATAACTCCAATTACAGGGGATCTGACACTCTCTTCTGGCCTCTGCTATCATTGTACACACATGGTGCACTTACATACATGCAGGCGAAACACTCATATACATAAAAATATTTAAAATTCACTATGTAGAATCCCTCAATATTAGGGCTGGAGAGATAATGGCTCAGCAGTTAAGAGCACATACTGCTCTTGCACAGGACCTGAGTTTGGTTCCTAGCACTCATGGTTGGCAGCTCACTACCATGTACAACTCAAGGTGCAGGGCCTCTGTGGGCATCTGAATTCATGTGCACAAACACTCACATAATTAAAAAGAAATCTTTAGCATCTCACAATATTGAGGTAGGCAGGACCCCACAAACCACATAAATCTTTCAACTTACAGGTAAGGAAAGAGACCCAAAGAGCTGTGACATGCTCATTAAAAATACTCATATTCTCATTCATTCTTTCTTCACCTCCACACTCTCTCCCACCAGATTAAATCACTGGAAGGAGCTACTCCCCCTTCATAAAGAAGCATTCATTGATCGGAAAGATTCCATTCAAAACAAGTTGGTCTGGTCATGGTGTAGTCACTATTTTCTTGTATAAAACCCCATGTTGGGGCTGGAGAGATGGCTTAGCAGTTAAGAGCACTGACTGCTCTTGC